TGGTTATGAAAGGGAACAAGTAAGACACTGTGGATAGCTCTGTACAATGTAAACTCAATACTAGAAAAAAAAGAACATTCTACTGAAGTAGATTGATCACTAGCACCATTTTTATGTATAGCAATTAGGAATACCCTTCATCCCAACCTTCCTATAACCTTAGAGAATTGTTTGATGCTCAGAGAGGTCATGATTACATAGTGTCAGAGGAAGGATTTGTACTCAGGTCTCCCTAACTCCAAGCATTTTATTCTATTCACTATATCATACTGCCTTTGTAAGAGACTATGAGTGTTAAAGAGAAAGAAACAGAAGTGTGTTCCAATCCAAACTCTAATGAATAATCCATGTCTTCTGATTCCTGGGCCAAAGTTCTTTTCGCTATTCCACATATTGTGACACATAACAATTTTTGTGTGCACTTAAGTGGAAAGCTTGTAGAGAGGAAGAGAAGCACATTAAATAGACACACAAATTACAATGGCCTCTCCTGAACTCAGGGCTCTTTATCCTTGGTGAGAGGAAAGAAAGATAGCATGACCTACAGTGATGAGCACAGGCTTTGAAATCAGGAGTCCTGACTGTATTCCCAGGTAGTGAAGTGACCATAGCAAATCACTTTTAAAAAGGTATGGAGTGGAGCACCTGCTTGGCACAGTGGATGGAGTACCAGCCCAAAGAGTCAGGAAGACCTGAGTTCATATCTGGCCTCAGACACTTGACCCATACTAGCTGTGTGACACAGGGCAAGTCATAAACCCTGATTGCCTTGCAAAAAAAAAAAAAAATATGGAGCCTGTGAAGTCCTGTATAATATTACTGGCTATAGAGGAACTGCTGACATTCTGGCCACAGCACTTCCTGTGGTGACACCTCACTACTGGTCATGGCTACAGCAGATAAGACTGAGACTTAAGTATCATCTACAAAAGGAGGGGCAAGATTGGTAACATTTAAGGTCCCATTCCAGCCCCAATCCTATGCTGCAATGAATGGTTGCCCATTGCCAGAAGATTATCATGGCAACCCTTGCTCACTGATTATTTAGGATTTTATTTCACATTATTGACAACCTATCCTGTTCAATAAACATTTATGAAGTGAACAGCACTATGCTTGGCAATGGGTGTACAAAGAAAACTTCTTACAATCTAGTAAGGGAGACACAATATACAAATAATTATGATAAAAGACAGGACTATGATAATAGATGAGATCTGTCCCTTACAGAGTCAAAGTGCTTTAAGGAAACTAGGGAAAGAAGAGATCCCTTTCATTTGGGAAGGCTTCATGAGATAGCCCTTAGGTGGACCAAAGATGAGAAGGGAGTGTATTCAGGAATGGGGAAAAAGCTTGTACAAATGCACAGGGGTCAGGAGAGGGTAGAACAAAGATCTAAGTTAACCAGTGAGGAGGGACTGCGGTGATGTAAAAAAAAAAGTTGAAAAGAGAGTTTGAAGTCAGAGTGTGAAAGGCCTTAAATGCTAAGTTGAGGAGTTTGTGCCTTATCTTATAGGTAACAGTAAACCACTAAAAGCTTGTGAGCAAGGAAATGACATGGTTTGTTTTGCACATTAGGAAGATTGTCTTGGAAACTAGGTAAAATATGAAAAGATATAATGAACTTTTCTGAACCTCAAAACAGCATATAAATCCTAGCTATAGAATTATTACAACAGCAGTAAGATGACCAGCCAAGGGGATGTTAGAATAGGTGAATATTATAATATTCTAGGTGAAAGGTGATATAGGCCTTAACTAGGAAGGTGGCAGGGTAGATACAGAGGAGGAAAGGATACAGATTTGTGATGGTAGAATCAACAACACCTGGACGACAGGATAGATTTGTGTGTGTGTGTGTGTGTGTGTGTCTCTTTTGGAAGGCTGGGGGGAAAAGGAAAGGGAGGTCACTGGGTCACTAGGAGGGTAGTGTTTTCATCAATAAATAGGAAGGAGAGGCAAGTTGTGTTTTGTTTTTTGGAGTGATAAAAGAATTATTTTTGCTTTTTGGTGAGGCAGTTGGAGTCAAATGACTTGTCCAGGGTCACACAGCTAATAAGGGTGGATATGAATTCAGGTCATCCTGACACTAAGGCCGGAGCTCTATCCACTGTACCACCTAGCTGCCCTTTCAATTATTTTTTTGAAGACAGAGTTTATATATTAACTCTCATTTTACACGAAACCCACACTCCAGCAGAAAATCTCTTTGAAACTTCCTTTTCCCTCCACAAATAAATCACTTTGTCTGTTGGTGAAAGAAAAGACAAGTCTGCTTAGGTTATTACTCTGCTGCTTTGAGATGAGCAGTATATTCCAAAGATAGAGTCAACTGCAATGAAGTGTTGAGCAGGAGGCATGCTAGGAATATTGAGATTGTTTTCCAGTTCTTCACAATGTGGCTTTATTATTTGCTTTGACATGCATTCTCAGATCATATACCTATGTGTGAAGTATAAAATCACATTCCAAGGTCAAATAACTAATTCTGGCGTGATTTTATATCTTCTGTTCCTGACTCAGATTAAAGCTTTAGATAAAGACTCCTCCCCCACTTTCATCCCCGCATTAAACCCTACTTGGATTCCTTAAAAATTAAGTCCAACAAGAAATAATCTTGTCCATACACTTTTGGACATGGTCAATGTGGGAATTTGTTCTGCTTCACTGTGTACATCTGTTACAAGGTTATTTTTTTCCCTGGGGGAGGTGGGAAGACAAAATAAATGGTTTTTAATTAAAAAAAAAAAGTCTCATGAAAACTGACCTTGGTCACCCTAAAATCAGCACCTGGAAATTTGGTTGTTCCAGGAGTCTATTTTCTTCAGGAGGCTGTTGTTTTTGGTCTGTTTTCTTTGTAACGGTAAAATGATGCTGATGGTGTTAGAGAGTTACCCTGAAGCCTTATCCCAAGGAACAAGAATTACAAGTCCTGTTTTACTTCCAGTCATAAAATGCTCATGCTGGAGGGCCCTTCAAGATCACTAAGAGAGCATCACCCTTTTATTTTGTAGGAGGAAACTGAGGAATAAAAATTAAGAAACCTTGTCTAACTACTGGATTGACCCAACTAACAAAAAGATTTAAAATATAGGAACTCGCAAAATCTTTGGTAACTATGTGATGTGATATGGTCCATCCAGGCTTCTTAAGATTATTCTCAGTGCTATCTCCTTCCCATTCCCTTCTATTTACAGCTGGCTCACCATTATCTACAAGATACCTTTAACCTACAGTTAGGACCATCTGCTTATTCCCACTGAAAACTTTACCCACAGGACCTTTGCTATTTGTCTTTTTAGGACTACTACCTGATTTCCTTTGGACCAAACTGTGACGTGCTTGTGTCCTATGGACATGACTTCACAGTGTTTAGAAATTAATGGGATTTTAGGGAGCACATAATCCAGCCCCCTTTTTTTTTTACCAATGAGGATCTGAGAGTGAAGGCCTGAAGAAGTAATGTAACAGACAAAATGAAGAGAAGATCTACCTCAAACTCAGACTCTCTGGCACTAATTTGGTCCTCTTTCCAGTCTAGCACACTTTTTCCTTATTTACAAGTTGGAGCTCACTTCTGGGAAGATTGCTTTAAAGTCTGAAGATCCTTTATTCCCAAACCTATTTTTTTTTTGGGGGGGGCTAGGCAATGGGGTTAAGTGACTTGCCCAGGATCACACAGCTAGTGAGTGTTATATGTCTGAGGCTCAATTTGAACTCAGGTCCTCCTGACTCCAAGGCCAGTGCTCTATCCACTGTGCCATCTCACTGCCCCTCCTAAACCTAATTCTATTAGGGCCTTCACTTTAGGTTTCAGGGCATAAAATATCAGAATTTCCTATAATCAAAAAAATTCTGTTGTGATCCTAAAGATCTTCCCTCCCTTCTTCCAAAGAAAGAAGTTGAACTCAAGTTCTATCCTGTTTGAATGTTAGCAACTAGGAAAGTTGTGGGGTCCTTTAAATTCCTTGCTCAGTGAACAGAAAAGAAAATCAAGGCATCAATTTCACATTGACATTTTTATTAACGCCAACAGTTTTTTTTAATTATTATTTTTTTAAAACAATAGCACAAAAAATGTTTCAGGGAAGCAGTCTGACAGTTAATCTGATGACCTTCTGAAATAGTTAAGCCACACCAAATATGAATTCCTGTTAACAAAAAAAAAAAAAAAATGGTGGGTGGGGGACAGGAAAGGGAAAAGGTTTAACATAAAAAAACAAAAAAACAAACAAAACCACAACTCAATTGGATTAGATGGGTAAGGTCTTGTTAGCTGAATACACTGTAGATGGAACAAAGGGTGGCAAGAGATTTATACTCTTACTTTTACCAGTTATCACTAAGATACAGTTCAGCTCTTGCAATCAGTTATCATCCACTTCATACATGCACAACAATTAACCAGGACAAGCTTATGCCACTTTGGCCATGAAGAGGTGCAACAGTTGGATCTGTCAGACAAGTAATAGCATTTTCTGTAGAACAAATCCCTCCAGAAGGCCCAAATGAAACCCTTCATAGTTTTACTGCTGCATTTGCATGCAATTTAGGACTCTTGCCAAAAAAAAAAAAAGAAAAGAAAAGAAAAAAAGGGGAGGGGGGATCACCTTAAGAAGAAAAGGAAATGTGAATCAGTTTCTCTTATTTAATGTGGCTATTAAAGAGATTTCCTTGTTATTCCTTTACCTCTGAGAAGGACACCAAGAGGTAGGACCAAGAAGGAGGGAGAACTGGGTGTTTTGTTTTGTTTTTGCCAAGAGGTCACAAAGAAGGGAGGGAGGCAGAGAGAGACTACTACCCTTGGTTCTACACCCCCCCCCCAACACTCAGCATTACGCACAGACGCAGACTCATCATACCAGCTGTCCGCCTTTCCTATTAGCCATTCCCCAAATGCACACTATCCATGGCTCATAAGTTGTTTGCAAAGGTGTTAACCCATTCCTGCCCAAGACACTTCACAAATCCCTCTTGACCCAGAAGCCTCTCAAATTTCCTTTTGGAGGGTTTTAAAAACAGAACATCTGCCATTAACATCATAGGAGAAGTGTTAAATCCTTTTAACCACTGACAAGGCTTCAGGAAGTTTCACAGTTTCATTATGCTCTATTTTATTACTATCATATTTACATTTTTTTTTTTGCTGAATTGATTTTTCCTTTTTTTTTTTAATAGAATTTAATTCTGGAGTGTGAGCAGGAACCAGTTAACTACATTCATTGTCCAACCCCCATTGGTTTGAGAAAAGACTCCAAAATCTTGGCATATGAATCAGCTGTAGGGTAGCTCCACCTCCTCCTTGCCAAGAGGCAGCAGGACAACAGTGGCTGCATGCTTGGGGGTTCACACTGTGGGTTGAGAGGCCTTTCGCTCCAGGAGGTACTGATGGATACTTTCGGCATCTCGTTTCAGCCAAGCAGCATTCAGCAGGATATTTTCACAGCACTGCTGGATGGTACGCTCTGCTGAGGGAGCTGGGTGGCTCTCGAAGAAAGCCTGTTGCAAAACAACCCAGAATGTGGGTGTTTATGTCATGCTTAATGAGCATTTGAATTCAGAGGAAGAAAGCAACACTTTAAATAATGTTATGGAGGAAAAAATTAGCTAGCTTGCAAAATTGTCACAAGCCTTACTAATAAAAAATTATTACTACAATCTCCATCCATTCTTTAGCTACTTCATTCCACACCACAAGGCTAAGAAAACATAAGCAAACTATTCAGAAAATTCAAGATCAAATCTTCTCAAATAAATTTTATGCAAAATAGCAGTAAGGAAGAACTAATTCTCTTTTTCTTAAGCTCACTTTCTATATATGATGTCCCAGCTTGTAAATGACAAGAAAGCTTGAATTCTGTCTGTACTTTTCTTTCAAGGAGCCCTAGATACTAATAATTTAATACTTGTCATTCTGCAGTATTTTTCTTTCTGTACTTTGCAATGTGATTCAGGAGAAACACTATTTTCCACCAAATGCAGTTCTTTCTAAGTAAAACAAGGCAACTATTAAATAGCAAACATAACAATAGGGTAAGATTTTTTAATGAAGAGTATCCCAATGGAGTCAAACTAGGATTCTGGAAAACTAACTTTCTTCTACAGAGGCGAGTTACTTGTTCTTAAGGACCTTCTGTGTGTTAACCCCAGTTACCTGAAACAAACATATCCTTCAGGCAGTTTTCTTACATAGCTATCAGGCCTGAAAATCTTCCAATCCCCAGGCTTTAGGACCACAGATTGAGAGCTGGAAGAAAAAGATCATCCAGTCCAATCTTCTCATTTAATAGTTGAGGAAATTTGGGCTCAGAGAGGTTAAGTGACTTGTCCAAGGTCACACAGTGACAGCCAGGAATCCTAGTCAGGTCCAGATTTATACTCATGATTAATAGGTTAATGCTGTCTGATAGACAGGAGAAGTCCCAACCCAAATACATTTGCTTCTAAATACTGAAAATGTTTGTTAAAAGATTTAAAATATTTTTCTAGGTATAAACATCCAGTTTGGTACAGTAGAAAATGAGAAAGAGCCTCAAAAATATGTTAGACATGACACATATGACAACACTGAGGTTGGAGGAGACAGCCCCAAAAGATCAAATGTACTTTGGAAGAGCATAAGGTGTAACTACTACATGTACATTTGACCAGAAAGCTGTATGGAAATGGAGCTTACACATCACTGATTTCCCACTACTAGTAGCTGTAGAAAACTTCTGTGAACAGTAGTTCCTATAATTTTCAAGACTGCATATAAATCCAAGGTAGCCAAAAACACAAAATTCTAAGGAACTGCTATCTTATGAAGAGTAAAAAGAAAAAAAAATGGGGGGGGGGGAGGAAAAGAGAATATATTACACGAAAGCTTTTACTTCCATTCCTTCTATTCAAATTCCATTCAAATGATAGTTGCCTTAGATTTAAGATACAGATATTAAGGAAAATAGCAACACTGAACTAGCAGTTAATTCCTACACCTAAGTTATACACAAATTATATTCTATGTATGAGCTCTTCTGGAAGTGGATACTTCTTCAGGTGATCCCAGAAACTAACAATTTTAATGGAGAAATGTTTCTCTGGACTTACAATGTGAATCAAGACACTTACTTTTGACACTATGCAGTTACCCAAAAAGACTGAAGCAAAACCCAGATTGTAAAAATGTTCAATGATTAAGTGGCTAAGCAATGAAAGAGACAATGATCAATTTGGGCCTGCAACAAATATGCCAAAATCGTCAGGTACAGAGTCCACACTACAGAGGCAGTATCTTGCTTATCAAACCAGAAGGGTGAATGAAAAGATAATCCTTTGTAAGCACACTACTGTATCAAAATAAGACTTTAGCCATGTTCTAATCTCCAGAAAAGATGATGTTATCTCTGAATTTTCTTGATAACAGACAATCCAGATTAGCCACCAATGTCATCTTTTCTTCAGATGAGGAAGGAGTGAATCCTGAGGTGCTTGAAATAATCTAAGCCTGATGCTGCCATTGAAATACCAGGCTTTGCTAAGACACAACTTAGCAAGAGCTATTAAAGATGCATTTTTCATGCTAAAAAAGTTAAATTTAAAGTAGTATAGTTCTTACCTTAACTTCTCCGGCCATTTTATCAACTGCAAATCCTTCAACTGAAAGCTGAAAAGAGATAAAGAATGCACAGTGTTTTAAATTTAACCCACATCAAAGGAGAATGTTTCACATTTAACAGGTAGAAGATGGAAACAAATTTCTATATGTCTAAAAACAAATTATACTAACTCTCAATGCCTTAATCTGGGAAGCTAGGTGGTGCAGTGGATAGAGGACTGACCTTGGATTTAGGAGGACCTGAGTTCAAATCCGGCCTTAGACATCTGACCCTTACTACCTGTGTGACCCTGGGCAAGTCACTTAACCCCATTGCCTAACCCAAAAAAGAAAAAAACCAACAAAAAAAAGAACCAATCAATGCCTTAATCTGAGGATTGGGTTTTGGAGGGCGTGTGTGACATTTCGCGTTAGACAAAAATAAGTCACAGTTTTTTAAAAGAATGGTCTCCTTAGGGGCAGCTAGGTGGTGCAATGGATAGAGCTCCAGCCTTAGAGTGAGGAAGACCTGAGTTCAAATCCGGCCTCAGACAATTGACCCTTACTACCTGTGTGACCCTTGGCAAGTCAAAGAATGGTCTCCTTTGTCTGTTTACAATATAAGCTCATAGAGAACAGGGATTGAGTTTTCGCAGGTCCTGTACACTGTGAGGGTATCTTAAAAACAAGCACAAATGATCATATGTACCTTTATTAGTCTTGATATTAAGAATCCTCCTTGGTAGCGATTATAAAGTTCTTCCCAGTTGTCTTTTATAAATTTCCAAGCAGCTTTCCTCCCCTGCTTGCTGCCTCCAGCTACGCCACCAATAACAGACACAGTATCCTGTGGACGTACCTCTTCCTGGAAAAAAAAAAAATTAAAGAAATAAAGTGTTTAGTCTTTCTAAACTCTCTGTAAGGTAATACTTAGATAGAATAAATAGCTAGGTGAACACTAGTCCTCAAAGTTACCATTATTTAAGTAACTGACTATGTGGTATAGTGGAAAGAGAGATGGATTTAGACTTAGATTTAAGATCTGCCTGAGATATTGCGTGACTTTGGGCAAATCACTTAACCCCTCTGGACCTCAGTTTTACCATATGTAAAAAGGAGGACACAGAACTTGATGACCTCTAAATTCTATGAGCTCTAAAATCTAAGATCTGTGATCTAAATGAAGCCACTCAACTTACCTTAAGAAAAATCTGCACGGGGCAGCTAGGTGGCCCAGTGGATAGAGCACTGGCCCTGGAGTCAGGAGGACCTGAGGTCAAATCCGACCTCAGACATATAATACTCACTAACACTCACTAGCTGTGTGAATCTGGGCAAGTCACTTAACCCCAAATGCCTGACCAAATAAATAAACTAAAAAAAGAAAAAAGAAAAAAAAATTTTGCACCAAGGAAAACAGAACCCTATTAGACATGAGGATAGGGCAAAGGGCAAGGAAGGGTACAACAAACAGCAGGCACTGAGTCCCTCAGAGAATGAAACATTCCTATATAACCTTCCCTGAGAAGGAAGCCTTAAAATAATAAGGCTAATGGATCAGAAGACCAAATTAGAGATACCTGCAACACATCAACAGACAACAACTAGTTTCAAAAGCAGTTTTCCAGTTAACTTACTGAAAGTGCAAAGGTGAGGACTTTTTGAATTAGTTCAGGTGGTGAAGTGGCCCCCAGGACTCGTTCAATTCTATTCTTTTCTTCTTGCATATCTGCTTCTTTGTGAAGCTACAGGGAGTAACAGTAGGGTTTTAATTTCCTAGACCATGTTCTAATGAAATACAACTCAAACTTCAGCAATTATTAGCACTAAACAAATAGTCTCTGTTGATTTTACAAACCATTTCACTGCTAGAATTGACTTGTAACACCCCTTTTTTTTCTGATCTAATTAGAAAACCATGTATGCTAGCCCACTAGATGGCACCTCTACACTAAACTACAGCACAGCTGTTACCCTCCTTCCCTCTTATTTCCCTATCACCAAGACAATACAAGCCTCATTCTGCCACCAAAGGTAGCAATAGAAGTTATTTATTTAAGCTAGGTACTTGGATAATATGACTAATATACTTTGTGAATAGAACCAAGTAATTTTCACCATTTGTTCTAATTACTGTATGCATTATAGCTAATGACTGAACCCTGACCATCTATCTACAAAGACAAATAAGAACAAGCAAATTTTTTTTTTTTAGTTTTTAGTCAAAGCTTCTCTCTTATTAGTACTCCTTAAAGTAGAGAGAATTTTGATAGCTGGTATGAAATGCAAACACACAGATGATTCATATGGCCCTCACCTATACCAAAATTTCAAGTCATCAAACTATTTATAAAATACACAGAACCTATATCTTCTTCACTAGAAAGAACATCTTATCTTTGTGAAGAAACTTCAAATGTAATTATGTTTATGACTTTTCTTAAATTTGGAGCTAAAACTTAGGAACCCTCAAAGATTTCTAATTTTGAACTGTTCATTAACATTAACTTATTATTCATAATTGTTTTAATTATAATAACAAAATTGACAAAAGTGATACCTCATAACCACACAAGGAATTAGGAAATGCAAGTATTACTATTCCCATTTGACAGAAAGAAATGGACTTAGAAAGTTAAGGTGACTTGGCAATGTTCCCACAGTGTATCAAGCATCAGAGACAAAATTTGAACTGGGGCTTTTTGTCTCCAAGTCCAGGGCTTTCTCCTACATCAGGGTGTGCCATTTAATAAAAAGAAAAAAAGAACATTTTAGGTCTTAGGTTCAGTAGAGACAAATTTGTAGCAATAACTTGGCAAGAAGCAAAAAGAATGATCTTTATTAAATCATTTGTGATATACAGCTAGGTGGCACAGTGGATAGAGCATTGGGCCTGGATTCAGGAAGACCTGAGTTCAAATCTGACCTCAGTCATTTACTAGCTGTGTAACCATGGGCAAGACATTCAACCCTCTGTTTCAGTTTCCTTATCTGTCAAATGAGCTAGAGAAGGAAATGGCAAACCAGTGCAGTTATCTCTGCCAAGAAAACCCAAAATAGGGTCACAAAGTGTCAGACATAACTGAAATGACTGAACAACAACAGTACTATTCTCTCATTGTCTTTTTATTGGAAGATTACTCTTTCTGTTGGTGATATGTCCCTTGCCAATTACTTGCAGTTGATTAAGAATAATGTGTAAGTCATTTCAAGGTCATAAAGCAGCAACAGTTTCCATGTGCACTTACCTTTAGCATAATGTCTAATGTGGTACTATCACCATGCTTCAAAACAGTCAGATATACCTAAAAGTTAACAATCAAAGAGAATTTAGTTAAGTATAACTTTCACTTTCAGATATTTTCAGACATGGTAAACTGACATGTCAAAAAAATAAAAGGTTAGGGGGCAGCTAGGTGGTGCAGTAGATAGAGCTCCACCCATAGAGTTCTATCGTGGACCTGAGTTCAAATGTGTTCTCAGACACTTGACACTAGCTGTGTGATCCTGGGCAAGTCACTTAACCCCAATTGCCTAGCAAAAAGTAAAATAAAAAAAAACAAAAACAAAAACAAAAAACAAATAAAAGGTTATGAGTAGCTGCTATATGCAGTCAGTCAACCATTTATTAAGCACTTATTAAGTGCCAAGCATGGTACTAAGCTCTGGTGATACAAAAAAGGAGGCAAAAACAGTCCCTTCCTTTAAGAAGCTCACATCCTACAGGAAGCAACAGCCTATATTTCATGCTTCACTCCTCACATCCCCCATATCCAATCTGTTGCTGAAGCCTGTTAATTTTACCTTTATAACATCTCTCAAAAAACCCTTTCTCTGCTCTACCACCACCTTGGTAGAGGCCCTCATGACCACACACCTGGACTACCGCACTCTTTAGCTGACTGTTTTCCCTGTCCCAAGTCTCTTCCCCACAGTAATCCATCCTTCACTTGGCTGCCATAGTGATCTTCCTTAAGCACAAATCCAACCATAGCAACCTCCTATTCGATAAACACCAGTGGCTCCTTATCACTTCCAGGACCAAATACAATTCTGTTTATCATTCAAAGCCCTTCATAATTGGGCCCTTTCTTACCTTTCCATCTTCTTACACTTTATTCCCCTCTATGTACTCTGCAATGAATGACACTGTTCCTCACATATGACACTCCAAATCCTGAAATCTGAGCTTTTTCACTCCACCCTCCTCATCTCTGCCTCCTGGTTTCTTTCAAGTATCAACTAAAGGCCCACCTTACATAAGAAGCCTTTCTCAGTTCTCCTTAACCTTACTGCCTTCTTTCTGAGATTACCTCCATTTGTGTATCTTATCTATAATAGCTATTTGTATGTTATGTCCCCCATTAGCCTATGAGTTACTTCTTAAAAGCAGGGATTGGGTTCCCCTCCCTTTCTTTCTAATCCTCAACACTTAGCACAGTACCTGGCATATAGTAAGCACTTAATAAATGTTTGCTGATTTGATGTGACATAGGTCAACTTTAGTTAAAGGAAATATTTTAAACCAAATGAAGGACAGTCGGAATGGGACAGACTACTCTGGTAATTAAAATAACATAATACAGAAACATACAGGACTCCTCAGATCAGCAGAAAGAATCTGTTTCCCATCTACATGGTCCTTAAACCGACGACGAGCTTCTTCTAATGTTGGCTTATGTCCTGATTTTCCTAGTTTGCCCAGAACCAAACCTCTCAGGAGTGCATCGAGATGACCTGTGGAGGAATCAGAAAGAATTGTGACTGTAGTTAAATGGGATTCTTTAAAATCTGTAGCCACTTGAACTTCATACAACTATTTCCACATTATTAAAGAAGTAGAGAATGGTTTTACTACACAGCAAAAAGCAGTTGTCTGATCCAGGAAATAAGCCTTTCGTTTATCATCATTTAAAAACGGTATAATATGCCTAGTATTGATGGCGACAAGAAAATACCTTTGGAAGATCCCAGATCCAGAAATTCCAGTGATTCTGAATCCTTGTAGGTCATCAGCCAAAACCCATTCCTCAACTCCACTTCCCCAATGCTTTATTACTATTTTCCCCTCAATGCATTTCCCCCTACAAAGCCCCAAATACACACTACCCATACCCATCCACAGCGCCCTCTGGAATGCATACTCCAAAGGCAACAAAGTTGTTTTCATCTTAAAAATTTTCCTTTCTCACTTTTCATCTTCTGGCTCACTTGAGATCCAGCTCCCTCCTCATAATGACACAGCCTCCCCAGCCACACTTTCCAGTAATGGCTCACTGGTCAAGGTGGGGGAATTGGAATATAAATCTTTACTACCGCTTCAGGTTCCTCCCCATCACCAATTGTTGTTCAGTCATTTCAGCCATGTCAAGATTTTCATGAGCCCATTTCTTTTCTTCTCTAGCTCATTTTTCAGACGAGGAACTGAGGCAAACAGGGTTAAGTGAGCTGCCCAGGGTCATATAGCTAGTGTCTGAGGCCAGATTTCAACTCATGAAGATGAGTCTAGTGCTCTATCTACTGGGCCACCGAGCTGCCCCCCATCACTATTACTATTCAGTAATCTCTTCTCCTTGAGGTCCATTTACAATCCACATCTATTACCCAATCAAAATCTTAGTAGCTCTGGTCTACTTTTTTCCTCAATGACTTCAGTACATTCAGTACAATCAGTACAATCTTTCTATTTTCCTCAACTCTGCCCACATACTAGGGTACTTGAACATAGATACTGATACTCAAATATCCTAACCTCAGTTCCCTGGCCTTCTCATTTCCCATGACCTACTCTTCCACCCAACTTCAGCCATGAAGACGATCATACTTTTGATCTTGCTATCATTCACAAATATAATACCTCCATATGTTCACAAATTCTGAAATTCCTTTATTCCATCCCAATTGATTGGCCTTCCACTTCTTCTGCCTTCCAATATCAAACCATACAGGGACCTCCAATCTCTCAACCAGTTGGTTCTATCTCAGGCCATCACTTCTGCACTAGCCACAGTCTCCTCCTTTCCTGATTTTGACCCTTTGGTGCTCAACTCTACACTGTCTTACTGAATACCTTTTCCTCTTATATCACTGATTTTTTTTCCCTGTCTGATCATTCTTACCATCTGCTACCTTCACTCCTATACACATGCTGCTCAACAAAGATGGAGAAAACTACACAACTGCTTTTGATTGGGTCCACTACAATTTTATGTTGCACAACCTCAATTGAGTCCTCACTGCTTCCAGGCAATCAATCAACTTACTATACCACTCACCCCAGCAGCTGTTCCAAGACTTTTCAATCCTCTTCAAACCTCCCATGGCTCACCCTGACCCCACCTTCTCAGCTGAGAAACTTGTCTAATATTTTACTGAAAAAAAACTGAGACCATTCACCAAGAGCTCCCTCTTCTCTCTTCGTCCTCCTCCTCATCTCAAATCATTATGATGTCTTCTGCCACTATCTCCTCCTTACCCTTTCCATACCCCTGCTCCTTGCCAAGGCTAATGCCTCTATATGTAAAAGTTTCATCCCAACTTCTCCAACAGACTGCCTACTCTATCATTCTATTCTCTCACTTATCTGCAATCTCTCCATATCTAATGTCTGCTTCCTTATTGCCTAAAAACATGCCTATGTCTTCCTCATTTTTAAAAACCCTTCACTTACTACCAAAAAATTATTTTATAGTTAGAAAAAATAATAACAAGATTCATTTGGAATAACAAATGGTCCAGAATATTAAGGGAACTAATGAAAAGAAATGCAATTCCTAGCCATTCCAGATCTTAAATTGTATTATAAAGCAGCAATCATCAAAACTGCTTGGTACTGGCTAAGAAATAGGGTGGTGGATCAATGGAATAGGTTTAAGTATGCAAGATACAGTAATCAATAACTATGGTAATCTATTATTTGATAAACCCAAAGACCCCAGCTTCTGGAATAAGAACTCACTCTTTGACAAAAACTGCTGGGAAAACTGGAAAAGAGTATGGCAGAAACTAGGCATAGATCAAAATAAAGTCAAAATGGGTTCATGATTTAGATATAAAGGCTGATACTATAAGCAAACTGGGAGAGCAAGGAATAGTTTACCTGTCAGATTTACGGAGAACAGAAGAATTCATGACCAAACAAGAGATAGAGAATATTAAGAAAAGCAAAATGGAAAGCTCTGATTACATTAAATTGAAAAGTTTTTGCACAAACAAAGCCAATGCAACCAAGATTAGAAGGAGGGTAGAAAGAATTTTTATAACCAGTCTCTCTAATAAGGGCCTCATTTCTTTTTTTTTTCTTTTCTTTCTTTTTTTTTTAGGCAATTGGGGTTAAGTGACTTGCCCAGGTCACGCAGCTAGTAAATGTGTCAAGCGTTTGGTCTGAGGCCGAATTTGAACTCAGGTCCTCCTGATTTCAGGGCCCGTGCTATCCACTGCGCCACATAGCTGCCCCGAGCCTCCATTCTAAGATATATAGAGAATTAAGTCAAATTTATAAGAATACAAGTCATTCCCCAATTGATAAATGGTCAAAGGATATGAACAGGCAGTTCTCAGATGAAGAAATTAAAGCCATCTATAATCACATGAAAAAATGCTCTAACTCACTATTGATTAGAGAAATGCAAATCAAAACATCTCTGAGGTACCACATCACACCTATCAGATTGGCCAACATGACAAAACAGGAAAATGATCCATGTTGGAGAAGATGTGGGAAAATTGGAACACTAATGTATTGTTGGTGGAATTATGAAATGATCCAACCATTTTGGAAAGCAATTTGGAACTATGCCCAAAGGGCTATAAAAATGTGCATACCCTTTGACCCAGCAACAACATTTCTAATATCCCAGAGAGATCATACAAATGGGAAAAGGATCCACATCTACAAAAATATTTAGAGCAGCTCTTTTTGTGGTGGCAAAGAACTGGAAACTGAGAGGATGCCCATCAACTGGGGAATGGCTGAACAAGTTGCGGTATATGAATGTAATGGAATACTATTGTGCTATAAGAAATGAACAGGCTGACTTCAGAAAAACCTGGAAAGACTTGTATGGACTGATGCTGAGTGAAGTGAGCAGAACCAGGAGTTACGTGCGATGACTAACTTTGATAGACTTAGCTCTTCTCGGCAATTCAAGGATCTAAGACATCTCCAAAGGCCTCATGATGGAAAATGCTATCCACATCCAAAGAAAGAACTAAGGAATTTGAATGCAGATGGAAGCATACTATTTGCTATTTTTTTTTCTTCTGTTGTATTTTGTTTCCTCTTTCTGGTGGTTCCTCCTACTGGTTCTAATTCTTACCTACAACATCACCAATGTGAAAATATGTTTAATAGTAATATATATGTATAGCCTATATCAGATTGCACACTGTCTTGGGGAAGGAGGTGGAGAAAAATTTAAAACCCAAAAGCTTATGGAAGTGACTGCTGACAATTCAAAATAAATTAATTAAAAATTAAAAAAACAAAAACAAAACCCTTCACTTGTTAAGTCCATTCCTGTTAACTATTATCTCATATCTCTCATGACCTCTACGGCTAAACACTTTGAGAATGCCACCTACAACAGGTTCTTCCATTTCCTTTCCTGTTACTCTCTTCCTAACTCCATATTGTCTGTCTTCTGACTTCATAAATGAACCAAAACTGACCTCTCCAACTTATCAATGATCTCTTAAATGTCAAATCTAGTGGCCTTTTCTCAGTCCTCATCCTTCTTGACCACTCTGCAGTCTATGACACTGTACACTGCCCTCTTTTCTAGGATATTCTCTTCTCCTCAGGTTTTTGGGACACCACTCTCTCCTGGTTCTCCTCCTACCTATTTGAACACTCCTGTCTCCTTTGCTTATCATCCAGGTCATACCCCAGTAACCATAGCTGTCTCACAAGGCTCTGTCCTAGGACCTTTTTTCTTCTCCCTCTATTCAGTGCTTCTTAAACTGGGCTGTGAACTGTGGGGCAGGTGCAGGGGGCGGTGTTGGGTCATAAAAAATTTGGCAACAATAAAAGGTTTCTGAACAAGCAACAACCACAAGTTAATTAAAGATCAAATGCACAATGCAATGAATCTGAGGTGTTTCTGGCAGCACTTGCCTGTGTTGCATCATGCAACTTCACTGCAACTTTGGTTCTGAACACAAAGCATTTGCACCCTGCACTGAGCATGCCCTCAGACTGTGCAATGCCAACGCAGTTGGAAGGCTAAAAGGGGTTGCAGTGGAAAAAGTTTAAGAAGCTCTGTAGGCCCTGGACCTATACAACTTCACTTAATGATCTAACAGCTCCCATAAACTCAATTATCATCTCCATGCTGACGATTCTCAAATCTATTCATCCAGTCCTAACCTCTCTGCTAACCTCTACTCTTGCATCTCTACCTACAGATCTCGCAAACTAGATGTCCTGAAGACACCTCAAACTAAACATATCCAAAAAGGAATCCATTATCTTCTCCCTGCTCCCAAGTTCCCCACTCCCATGACTCTCCTATTATTGTCAATGGAACCACCTCCTCCAAGGCCCCCAATCGAGTAGTCATCCTGGATTCTTCATAAACTCTCACCTCCTTATCCAAGTTGTTACCAAGGCCTGTCGATTTCATCTTTGCCACACTTCTCAAATACATCCCCTTACCTCCTCTGATACAAGTCTTCATCTGACATCTTCCTGAACTATTGTAATAGCCTATTTAGAAAAATTTTTCCCCACTCTAATCTATCCTCACACTCAACTGTCAAATTAATCAGACCATGTCACTACCCCTACTCAATCAACTTCAGTGGCTCCCTATCATGTCCAGAATTAAATATAAAATCCAAATTGGCATCTGAAGTCCTTCATAACCTCTCCCCACCCCCACCCCATAAACTTTCCATGCTTTTTATACACTTTAATCCTCCCCTCCATACACTCTTTTTCCAGTGACACTGGCCTCTTTGCTCTTCTTAAAAGAAGATACTCTTATTTCTCAGCTGAACATTTTCACTGGTTGTCCCACATGACTGGAATACTGTTCTCCCTCATCTCCATTCCCAGCATTCCCAGACTTCCTCCAAGTTATAGTTAAATTCCCACCTTCTACAGGAAATCTTTCTCTATCCCTCTTAATTCTAGTACCTTCTCTCTGTTGATTATTTACTATTTATCCTGTATATAGCTTGTCTGTACATGACTGTTTGCACGTTGTCTTCTCCATTAGAATGTGAGCCCTTCAAGGGCAGGAACTATCTTTTTCCTTTCTACCCCTAATGCTTAGGACAATGCCTGGGACATAGAAGGTGCTTAATGACTGAGTGACAGACAGAGCCATCAAAGTAACAAAATAATTTTACTTTAGATGTTTGCAACTATGACGAGGGCAATAGGTGCTTTTGTTCTGGATACATGCGGTAAAGAAATCTGTTTTGGTACTAATGAAAGAAATAACTAATTGCAAATATTTCAAAAGAGGAAGTATGAAATGATGTGTTTGATAAGCTAAAAACGAATATATATACTATCTAACCTGAAGTAAAATCACAAAGGCCACCTATTTGAATTTAATTAGTCCTTCAATTTGGTGATGTTTTTATTGTTTGGGTTGTCTCTTATCAAAACCATTAAGGCATACACTTAGTCATTCAGTTATGTCCAAGGCACCTAGTAAGAGTCTGTACACCCAGGATCAATGTGTTCCATGTGCAACAAATAAAAATCTCAGGATTACTTCACCACAGCCAGAGAACTTAAGCAGGTATTTGTGGAAACGTACGACTTGCTTTTCTCCTTCTAAGCACATTGTTGCAAAGGTTCTCATAAAGAAGGTTCTGACTTAAAATTTTGGCTCTGTAAAGGATGTGTTGTGGTATGCAAAGTGGCCCAAGTGTGTTCCTGGGTTCTCTTATGAGTAAAATGAGTTTCCTTATATCCCAAGGAGAGGCAATGAGTGAGTGTCAAGTGCTCCACGTGATCATCACAGAAGAAAGGTCACAGACATAACAGACACAGAGCTGGGAGGGGCCTCAGAGGTCATCGAGCCTAACTCTCTTCATAAAGATGAGGAAACTGAGACCCAGAAAGACTTGAGTGAGAAGCATTAACTAGCAGAGATGGAGCTTAAAATGAAGACTTCTCTCTCCAAACCCAAAATTCAGTCCATCATATCATTAAATTTCAAGTAATATTACTACTACTTACAAAAAGTTAATGTTTTCAACTGTAAGTTATTAGTTTCTTAGTCATCAGTATATGATAAAAAAAAATGTCAATCCAAAAGTAACACTTACATTTTCATTTCTACCTCTTAAATTAAAAAGAAATCTGATAAAATTACAGCAACAGTTTATAGCAAGACAGAAAAAAGGAATTAACCAAGATAATGATCTGCTTATCAGGGCCTGATAGGAACTGGTGCCAATAAAATAAGCATATATTTCAGATGTGGCTATGGGTTTATAGATCTCTGTCCCTATCTTCTACACATTGCATTTAACAGCTAATTTAGACAATATTCCATATATCGGTCTCCATGTAACGTCCAAGGAGAAGAACAATGGGAATGGGAACTTTCGACATTAAATACTGATTAATATCATTCAGGGTTTAAAAAATACATTAATGCTGTGACTATATCAACTTACCAATCTTAATTCTGAAATATTTAAGTATACATCCCCTTACCCTCTCCAGGTTTAGGATCCCAGCCCAGCCTCTCCCCTATGGGTGAAAAGACATCTTTCACAAATAGCTGGATTTCCTCATAGAAGTCTGTGTGGGACAAGAGAGTTGAGAGAATCCCCAGGTTACAGCTCAGGTCGCTCCAGACAGTATAATTGGGCTCATTCACAAAAGCCTCCATGACTTTTAGAACATCTACAGTGTTAATGATTCCAGCTCGAGCCTGGGAGAGAAAAAACAATTTCTGTTTTTTAGTTAGGTTAATTTCAAACCTAATCTCCAAATAGAATTGTAACACAGAGATACACAAACAAGTTCAACATTATCTATTCTTGCAAAATGTCTATCTCTGGAATTTGAAGTAAATGACACAACATGAGTTCAGAAGAGCACTTGTTAGAATAAAAATCCTACTATAATAACATAAGACAATGTACTAAAAAATAAGCAAAACTATTCTAACTAATCCAACTGGTTAGGGTGAAAGAAAACTGATCAGTTTCTTGATTCTATTAAGTTTCTGGGGCCTTTACTTTTTAACAGAGGCTCTTTCAAAGCTAGGCCATCTAAACTGTGTCAATTTTACCCTGTCCTTTACAAATTTGAGAATAAAGTTGACTGAAAGGCACTAAAGTGCTCAGAACTCTTTCAACTCTTGTGTGTACCAACAAGTGGAATTAGGAAAAACCCAATTTCTATTCTAGCAATCAACTACACAAAGAGCCTATTCTGTTGAAAGGATGAATCTGCCACTCGAATCAGCAGATTTGAGGTTTTAGACTTCAATGCTAATCTATATTTATACAAAACAAGAATCCAAAACCAGTTATATCAGCAGGGAGTAGTGAAACTTCAAGATCCAAATTGAAGGAAACTTCATGCTGAGTCTTATAATTATTACAGGTATCCAGAATTATCCAGACTGCCAAATGCACCCAGAAATTATCTAACACATGCCTGACTATTAAATTAAGTATCTGACAAATTCAAATGTTATTTGGCACAGGACTTGAAGGAAAAAAAAAAGCATTATTAGGGGAAAGCACCCTAAGATTCCCACAAGCAAGAGTTATAGCTTCTATTTAGTAAGCAATTCTGAATAAAGTGTTTTTAAAATCTCAGTTGGAAAAGTTACTCATCTATTCAAACAGATTTTCTATTAAAACTAGAAGAATTAATCCCTGGGCAGAGAAGACCCTACAAGAAAATAACTAAATACAGTTGCAGAATACTAGCTTAGATTGATGACAAAGAACTGTTTCTGAGGGAATTTTGCAAGTTCATTTGTATTACACTAATTAATCGCCACCTGCATGCCATAACCACAAAGTTCTTCCACCTTTAGGAAGAGCCAGGTCCTTTGAACTGTAAGTATATTATTAATCAAATATTCCAATAAGAGCAAAATCCCCCAACCAACAAAGCCTATCATATTGTGAAAGGAGGAGGTACTCACCAAAGAAAAAAGATCATTCTGTAGCCCAAGTCGGTCCACAGGGGGTAGAGAAAGGTCTCGTATGCCTGGCAATAAACTCTCCAACATAGCAGAACTGTATTGAGTCCGATAAAATCCAACTGTTCCTAGGTTTAACTGGGAAAAAAAATAAAAACAAAATACCCAACACAAACACACATATGCATGCATATGTACACATATATACATGCCAAGCTAACTTTTAGCCCTAGAAATTTCACATTTATATGGAAAGGTAGCATGGAAGAGTAGGGAGGGGGAAGCTAGTCTGCCTCTGACATACTGGCTATTGGACCCTGAACCAGTCATTTAAATTTCTTAAGCCTCATTTTCCCTGTATATAAAACAGTTAGAGTTAGACTCAATGACCCCTAAGGTCATTTCCAGTTCTCTATGATCCTATGGATAGAATTCCAAATTTCAATCATTATAAACAGTGTTAAATGTCTGAGTTAGTTTAACTAAGATTACATGCTGCTGATCTCAAATACTTTACTGAGGTTATCGACTCCTTAAAATGACAAGTCATGCTTGCAAAACTGTAACTGCCTCAAATGATTTACTGTACCTGGTGGTAAGGGAATATTTTACTTCCAAAAAGGTTAGCGAACATGTAGGAATAATCTCCAGTAATAATTCTCTGCCCTAAGGTCTTCTTTTCTCCTGTATTATGGAGGCTTACTGGGATTAAAAGGGAATTCTCTAAATCAGTAGTTCCTAACTTGAGGTCCAAAGATAATTTTCAGAGAGGTCTGTGAACTTGCATAGGGAATACATATTTTAAAACATTCTGAGGGAGTCCATAGGTTTCAACAAGGTCAATAACACAAACGGGTTAAAAACTCCTACTTTGGATAAAATTTACTAGATAATTTCTAATTTCACTTTTGTTTAAGATTATGAATGACATAGTATTATATCTCTTTGATCGACATTATTTGACAAAATCCCAATGGATGTCTTCTGAGGTGAACAGATGGATACCTTACAGAATACTAGAGCTTAAAAATGCTCCCGCTATCCTTATTAGATAAAGTAGCTCAAGCTGTGCCTTGCCTAAAGTCACATGCTAACAAATGGCAAAACTATCTTTAAGACGGAGATGAGATGGTCATAGCTTCTACCAAGACAAAGACTGACAGTCTTTGTTACTTGTTTCAATTACAGAATACCAATTGTCCTACCACCACTGCCACATGCTACCACCAGAAAGGAGGAAGGAATAAGTGAGAAAGAAGAAAATGGGGATCTCTACTTGGAAATGATAGATTCAAATTCAAAGCTGATATTTTTGAGCTCTAAGGCTGAGGATAGACAAACTGTTACTTTTAACCTCAGAAACTACCGAGTAATTGTTCCCATCTCAATGAGGGCAAATCATCCTTCAATAAGAGTAATAATTCACATGGTAACCCAAAAACATGTCCTACAGGGATATAGATCTCTCATTCTTTCTACATCATTTTATACAATGCCGATCCTAAATGCAGTGCTTTTATCTTTGTTATGAAATTAACTTCAATATTCCACACAAATAAGGAGTCAGAAAAGCAAAATCCTGACGTTAACCCCAATCTTGATCCTCCTGTCATGCTATCCACTAGATGGTAGAAGCAGTTCATAAATAAAAGTTAACATCCTGGGAACAAAAAATTATTTGCAAAAGCAAAATGAGGCATTTTTCCATTCATAGATATAGATTTGGCAGAAATACTTAAGAGCAAAACTCTACAGCCTAAAAAACAACAACAATAAAACAGTATTCTCTCTTCCCAAGCTAGACTTTCGTTAAGCTGTGGTTGCTATGGGGATATACAAAAAGCTGTTCACAGTTCAATTCAAAAGCTGTTCCTGGATTTGCTGATGGAACCACTTGATTTGTCGTGCCTAGACTTGTAAAACAATGTAGGTTGTATTATCTGAGATCTCTGTTTGAAGAAAATTCTTGGAAAAAAAAAAATACTGGTCTAAGTCAAACGAATACAAGGCAAAATTAGTTTATAGAACTCGAAATATTAGAGAAAGAAAGGAAACAGGTCTATCTGGGTCCAGAAAGTAGATGAATACTAAATGGAATAAAAGTGCTACAAATAGAACTAACCTTTATCCACTGGTCTGGCTTAACATTTTTCAAAACCACACTCATCTCTGGTTTCTCCATCAAAATTTTCAGTTTGGCTTCATTAGGTTCATCACTGGTAGAAATTGTTATAGGAACCATCCACTGGGGACAATCCTCTCCTAAGCAAGACAATGACAAAAAAAGATGCTTTGAGGAAACAGGAGATCTATTTTCATAAGCAAAGACCTAATTCTACTATGGTGAGTAATGGCTTATTTAAAGGAGTATATCTATTCCTTAGGTTTCCAGATTATCATCAGTGCAAAAGAACAATCTAGTGATAGCCTAATTCCCTGAAAGACTGATTCACCTTGTAAACCTGGGAAACAGCTTACTCATTTGTATGGTCATATCCAACAGTTATTTTAACTCAATTTTTCTTCCCCTGTCCCACTCAACTGTCTATAACTATAAAAATGACAAAATAAAAAAGTTCAGAGATTTAAATGTTATCCCTGATGGATTCATGAATTCTCCAAATGGGGGAAAGGGTAGATTCCAGAAACTATAGACCCAGGTGACAAAAATCACAGAAACTGAGTTGGAAGGGCACCCAAAGCCGATTATGTAATGTTCCCTGATATAGATCAACAGAAAAATTCTGGAATGGATAAAGTCATCAGTGCACACATATATACATATTTAGAAATGGAAATCAGGAGCAAGGAATAGGTTGGCCCAAGAACAAGCCATGCCAAATTAACTTTTATTTTTTTTTAAGGATAATAAAAAAGTAGAGCAAAGAAATGAACAGATAATAGTAAACACAATAAATCTAGATTTCAGAAAGGCATTTAGTAAAATCTTTCATGATATCTTTGTGGACAAAATGAAAAAATATGGGCTAGATAAAAGAAAATTAGGTGGATTTATAGAGCTCATTAAACGACCAAATTCAAAGTATGTTGAGGTATACCTGAGAGAAGCTCTTTAGTGGTATGACACTAGGCTCTGGCCTCAGTTCCGTCCTGGTCAACATTTTATCAATGACATGGATAAAGTATAGACTGCATGCTATCAAATTTGTGAACAAAGCAAGGAGGAATAGACAATACACTGGATGGTGAAATTAAGATTAAAAAAAGATCTGGAAAGGTTAGAACAATGGGCCAAAACTAGTAAGATGAAATTTAATAGGACCCAATGCAAAATCCTAGATGTGGGTTAAAAAAATTTTTGGTTGCTTAAGTATCATAGGATGGAGAGATCTTGCATAACTATTCCAAAAGGATTAGGAGTCAACAGTGTAACATGGCTGTATTAATAGAAGTAGAGCATCCAGAATAAGGTCCTGTTTAAAATAACAGTCACACTCCACTCGGCACTGACCAGACAACAGCCAGAGGAATACTATGTTCAGTTTTGTATGCAAAATTTAAAGAGGGATATTGAAAAATGTAATATTATTTTTAAGAGGAAGATCAAGTTGATGATCTAAAAATTATGCTATAGAAGGGAACAGCTGAAGGAACTGGAGATAATTAGTCTAGTGAAAAAGGAAAATAAGAAATTCCACAACTGTCTATAAATATCTGAAAGTATGTTAAAAAAAAAAAAAAAAAGAGGGGGCTTAATTTTTTTGTTTGTTTGTTTTTGTAGGCATTGGGGTTAAGTGACTTGCCCAAGGTCACACAGCTAGTGTCAAGTGCCAGATTTGTGTCAAGTGCTAGTGTCAGGTCCTCCTGACTCCAGGATTGGTGCTCTATCCACTGCAGCCACCTAGCTGCCCCAGGGGGTTTAATTTTTGCAGCTCCAGAGAATTTTATAAAACAAAATGAGATCAATATGGGATAAAGGTTTCCAAAAATTGAAAAGTCTACCTGATCAAACAGTGAATTTTCCATCACTGGATGTATGCAAGCAAAAGAAGAATAACTACTTGTTACACACAGCATTTCTACATATAGTATAAAGTTGGGCTGGATCACTTCTAAGATATCTCACAAGGCATTCGAGAACAAAAATTTGAAATTTTTTTTAGCTTGCCATTCATCTCTCCTTAGATGTCTCCATTTTCTTCAGTCCTTCCAACCTTTGACCCCACAATTCCACGGAAAGGAGGAAAGCAGGGAAGCCATGGGGACACTCCACACAATGCCCCACCTTTTTTTTTTTTTTTAATTTCTAAATCCAGAAATTTATTTTAACTCTCTAGCTCTACCAGAGGCTCAGGGAGGTGAAATCAGCATATACACAAAAATCATTTTCATTCCCTCTTCTAAATAAGTCTTCCCTTACCAAAAACGTATAGAAATAAAGACTGTTACAGTCCACATGGAGTGCAGTCTGTAGTTTTGTCCCAATCCCCTTTCCATAGCAATAGGCGGAAAGTTTCATTCCTCAAGCCAAGCTAAATTAAAATGCACACTCATTTGTATTTAATCTATTATTATATATTAATTTTTATGTCATTCTTTTAAAAAGGAAATAAATTGATGTAAAAAGTATTTCTTGTTAGTTGACAAACTGCTGGTGCCACACACACTAGACTATTCTGATTAGCATCTACTTTTCATCATCAGCTTACCACTATATGGTCCACTGGCAGAGAATTTCCTTTGAGACAACTTCAGCACTCTGTCATCTTCTACCTAAAATGTAAAACAAAGGCTATAGTAGTATTAACAGATTTTTTTTGCAATTTTTCTGTGAAAAAGCACATTGTAATGCTAGCTCAACACACAGCCCTAAAAAGTACAATGCGCACTCAATATTTAATGGCAATGAAAATGCTATGTAAACAGACACATAAACTATGTGTGCAAAGTACTCTTGCCAAATGCTGGGGATACAAAAGAAAAAAACGATGCAGTCACATCACAGGACCAGAGAGAAGTATGATACAAGTACAGGTGTGATCATGGCAGTGGACAGAATCAGATAAGGCACTCTAGGAAAATTACAGGAGGGAGAAAATGCTTTGTTCTTGAGAGATCAAGTCAGGCTTTATGGAGGAGGTGGCAAATGAACTGACTTCGGAAAGAAAAGGATTCTGAAAAGCAGAGATGGGGAAGAAGTACATTCCAGTTATGGAGGATGGCTTGCAAACAGGCAGGAAATGAACTATTGATTAGATCGTGTAAGCGGAGCAATGAGAAACAGGGCTGGATAGACAGATTAGATCCAGATTTTAGAGGGCCTCAAAGAGTTTGGATTTTATCCTACAGACAAAAGGAAGGCACTAAAGGTTTTTGTGTAGGGGAATGAGCCATCAGGAAGATTATTTTGGCAGCTGCATGAAGGATGGAAGAGAATCAAGTCAAGAAGACTGAATAGGGGGGCAGCTAGGTGGAGTAGTGGATAGAGCACCAGCCCTGAAGTCAGGAGGACCTGAGTTCAAATCCAGCCTCAGACCAAACAATTCACACTTACTAGCTGTGTGACCCTGTGCAAGTCACTTAACCCTATTGCCTAGCCAAAAAAAACAAAAAAGACAGGGAAAAAAAATGACCTGGAAAATAGACTGGAGAGAGATAATTTAAGAATTACTAGACTATCTAAAAGCCATGATCAAGAAATTATCAAGGAAAATTGCCTCAATATTTTACATCCAGTTGGTAAAATAGAACCGAAAGAATCTACTGATCACTTCCTGAAAGAGATTCCAAAATGAAAACTTCTAGGAATATTGTAGTCAAATTCCAAAGCTCCCAAGTAAAAAAAAAATAAAAATAAAAATAAATTATATATATATATATACATAAAATAAATTATTATATATTATTACATAATAATACATTAATGATAATATATATATATATATATATCTTGCTAGCATCCAGAAAGAAACAATTCAATTATCATGGAGCCAAAGTCAGGATCACACAAGATTTAGCAGCTTTCACCTTAAAGGAGCGGAAGGGCATGGAATATGATGTTCTGGAAAGCAAAGGAGCTACGATTACAACTAAGAATATGCCTACCCAACAAAACTGAGTATAATTCTTCAGGAGAAAAAATAAGATATTTAATGAAATAAAGGACTTTCAAGCATTCCTGATGAAAACAGCCAAATAGAAAATTCGACATTCAAACACAAGACTCAAGAGAGGTTTGAACAGGTAAACAATAAAGAGGAATCATAAGGGAATCAATAAAGTTACACTACTTATATTCCTATATGGGAAGATGATACATGTAACTCCTAAGAACTTTATCATTATTAGGGAAGTTAGAAGGAATCTACATAGAGGGCATGAGTATGAGCCAACTATATTGGGATGAAAAAAAAAATTAAGGTCAGAAAGAGGGATGCACTGGAAGAAGAGAGAAAGGAATAAAATGGAGAAAATTTTCTCACATAAAAGAGGCATAAAAGGAAGAGCTTTTATGCTGGAGGGGAAAATGGAAGGAGGGGGTGGCAAGCAATGTTTGAACCTTACTCTCATCGGAAACAGGTCAAAGAGGGAAGAATATATATATATATATATATATATATATATATATATATACACACACACACACACACACACACACACACACTCAGCTGGGTATATTAGTCTATATTCCTGAATAGGGAAATAGGAGGGGAAACCAGTAAGAGATATTGCTGGACAAGGAAGAGGGGAGAAATGATAAAAAGTAGGACACATTAAGGGAGACAACGAATCAAAACAGAATTTGGGAAGGGAAAGGATAAAAAGAAAGAATGATAAAACGAAGAAAATACAACGGAGGGAAATACACAGTCAGGAATCATAACTGTGAATGTGAATGTGATGAGCTCACCTATAAACGGAAGTAGATTCCAGAATGGATTAGAAACTAAAATCCAACATTATGTTGTTTACAAGAGACACACTTGAAACAGAAAGACACACACAGTTAAAATAAAGGACTGGAACAGAATTTATTATGCTTTAGCTGAAGAAAAAAATGCAAGGATAGCAATCATGATCACAGACAAAAAAGCAAAACCAGACCTAATTAAAAGAGATAATTAAAGAAACTACGTTTTGCTAAAGGATGTACCATGGATAATGAAGTAATAACATCAAAATTTTTACAGCAAATTTCTCTGATAAAGGCCTGATTTTGAAGGGGTGCTTGGACCCCAATTTCTCCCTAGTCTCAGAAACACTGTCTCTGACAACCACTCCCCAGCCCAAGGGCACTGTGCCTAGCAATTACTCATGCGTGGGCCCCAGCAAGACCCTTATCTCTCTCCCTGGTGCAGCTACACAAAACTGGATGAGAGAGTGCTGGGCTGCTCACGCTCCAGCCCTCAGATCATGTCTGTGGAAGCCTCCCAATTCCTTAGTAAGTTCCTGTCTTGTGAGAAAGCTTTCCCTTGTTACAGCGCATTCTCTCATCAAGACACAGGGAGAGAGGTGCCTTGCCCAGCCCGAGGAGTTTTGTCCTTGGCTGGCCCAAGGACTCTTCCTCCTGCCAGACTCCCAAGATCCATACCTCTGTCATCTCCCTCCCTGTCTGGTATACTCCCTGTACTTTCCCATCCATAGCTCCCAAAGATTACCTAATCGGTATCCCTGGCATTCTTTTCCCATGCCCTTTTCCACATAAACCCTATCTCCATCCTCAGTCTCTTGCAGGTTCCTTAAGAATCCTTGCCCACTGAAAAACATAACAATAAATCTTTGCCACTGTGACTTAAAGAATGCTTGAAGCTGTGAATTCATTCCAGACAACCTCGTCCTGTACTTCAGTCTTTGAGGGGTCTCAACCTCTCAGACTCCAACAATTTCTCAAATATCCAAGGACCTGAGTCAAATTTATAAACACAATAGCCATTCCCCAACTGAAAAATGGTCAAAGGACATGACCAGGCAGTTTTCAGAAGAAGAAATCAAAGCTATCTATAGTCATATGGAAAAAATGCTCTAAATCATCACTGATTAAAGAAAAGCAAATTAAAACAACTCTAAGGTACCACCTCATACCTATCAGAAATGACAAATGCTGGAGGAGATGAGGGAAAATAGGTACACTAACAAACTGCTGTTGGAGTTGTGAACTGGTCCAACCATTGTGGAGAACAATTTGGAACTATGTCCAAAGGGCTATAAAACTATGCATGCCCTTTGATTCAATAGTACCACCACTAGGTCTGTACCCCAAAGAAATTTTTTTTAAAAAGGAAAAGGACCTAAACATACAAAAATATGTATTGCTCCTCTTTTTGTGGTGGCAAAGAATTGGAAATTGAGGGGATCCTCATCAATTGGGGAATGGCTGAACAAGTTGTGGCATGTGATTGTGCTCTAAGAAATGATGGCAGTTGTGGTTCCTTTTATGGGTTCTAAATTACAATAGGAATGTACATGTAGAACTTGTATTGGATTTCATACTGTCTTGGGGAGGGAGGTGGGGAAGGGAGGAGGAGAAAATTTAAAACTCAAAAGTTTTTGGAAGTGAAAACTAAAAATAAATTAAAAAAAGGAAAAAAAAAAGAAAGAAATGGCAGTGGTTTCAGAAAAAACATGGCAAGACCTATATGAACTGATACAAAGACAAGGACCTGAAGATCATTGTGCATAGTAACAGCAATGTTGTAATGATGATCAATTATGAAAGATTTGGCTACTCTGATCAATACAATGATCCAAGACAATTCCAAAGGACTCATGATGAAAAAATGCTTTCCACCTCCAGAGAGAGAACGAATGAACTATAACTCAAAATGAAATATAATTTTCTTGCTTTATTTTTTTCCAATAGAGATAACACGGAAATATTTTACATTACTTCATATGTATAGCTGATGTAATTTTGCTTGCCTTCTCAGTGAATGGAGGAAGTAGGAGAAACAGGAAGAGAATCTGGAACTCAATTTAAGAATGCTAAAAAAATAATAAAATTTTTTGGACAAGAAGTTATTGGTAACTGTTGAGAAAGCAGTTTCAATAGAATGTTGGGGACAGAAGGCAGATTGCCTTAAATTGGCAAGTCCGAGGCTCAGGTTCTTCGCAATGCACCGAGCACCCCAAAGAAAAGATGACAGTACTCAAAGTGTCTCCCCAGACTGTGAAAAGACTCTTCAGAAAAGTAACATACAGGGGGCAGCTAGGTGGCACAGTGGATAGAGCACTGGCACTGAAGTCAGGGGGACCTGAGTTCAAATCTGGCCTCAGACCAAACACTTCACACTTACTAGCCATGTGACCCTGGGCAAGTCACTTAACCCCAATTGCCTTTAGAAAAAAAAAAGGTAACATACATTCAAAGGGTTAGTCAACTATAAAAGAATAACATAGTTTTCTTCTTCATGGAGCAAAGTAGAAGACCAAGAAGTGTATACAGTAGATTAACATTTCAACTCAATACAACAAAACTCAATTTTAGCATTCTACTGTGTATGAAAGGATGCTTTTCTTTATGTGATCTACTATATAGTAACATAACATAATGGTTAATACAGATGAGGAAAAAAAAACTTTACAACTGAAAAGCCTAAAGCAGCAACAGCAGAATATTATGAACAGCTCATAAGTTAATAATTTTACTTTGAAAAAGAACTTCAACAGTCTACTTAAAAGAAAAGGAAAAGGTTCCAAAATATCTATACAGAAAGTTTTCTTCGATTAAGAATGGGACTGTTCATCTAGAAAAAAAAAGTACATGAACAGTTAAGTTGGCTTGGAGTGTTTGATGCAGTTATAACTTTATACATAAAGAAATAAAACCAGGTGTCTGTGGCTCCTGAAAGGATACAAAAAAGCAAGACATGAAATAAATTCAGAAAAAGACTTTTTATTTAAATACATGTTCTAGAAGTTGTCATAACAATGCTAGAACAGATTCAGAGGCTAGGAAATTTTTAAAACTTGGAAAGTTAAGGAAAAATATGAATGATGAAACAGTGGCCTTCTTCATGCTATCAAGAGGACATTCAATCAGGCAATATACTTTCCTTAAGCACCTATTATGTGCTGGGCACTCTAAGCTTTCTATTACAGATAGTTCTTGCATTACACAGGAATTTCATATTATGCAAATTCGACTCTATATAAAGAATTCTGAAATACTCATTTCAAAAACACACATGATGACTTTACTGTACAGTATACATGCTCTCTCTCTCTCTCTCTGGCTCTCTCTCTCTCTGCCTCTGCTCTGACTCAGTGTTCTGGGGCCTTCTACCTTCCCATCCCTCCCAAGTGAAAGCAGAAGAATGGACGTGGGGAGAGACTGTCACCACAGCTGGTGCTACTGGGTGGGAGCTTGGCCTGAGACCTCCATCTCCAAGAGATGAGACCTTTGCCTGCCAGTATATATCTGTCTTCCATCTATCCGAGCTTAGGTACCGTGTGTCTGTCCTTGACACAAACGTTGCCCATCTGCTCCATGTCTGTGTCTGGTCCCCATGTCTGTCCCCACTTGTTTGTTCTTCCTCCTAGTTCTGGCCAGAACCCACATGGCTGGCATTGGCCCTTTTGTGTTCCTCCTGCTCTCATTTCCCTGCCCTGGCCTCTACTTGTCCTTGAACCATGTGCTAGCCTCCTCCCTCCACAGTGTTCCTTTCCTGCTTCACTCCCTCCCTCTCCCCCACATCAGAGGCAAATTCACATTATGTAAACATGTGTTTACGTAGAAATCTGCAGAGTCCACTTACATAAAGCAAGGTCTGTATTTATGACAATGTCAGTAACCAGTACTGAACTGGAATTAAAGGACACATTTCTATCATGTGCTTTAGAGTAAGTCAATTATCTCTCCTCATCTCAAAGGTCACGGGGTTTACACCTGGAAGGAGCCTAAGACATCATCCAGTTCAATTTCTGAATCTACAGAATGAAGAAGTTGGACTAGATAACTTCTGAGGACACTTTTAGCTCTACATATATGATCCAATGACAATATAATGTACAAACTGACCACAATAAAGCTTATTCAGAATCAGTCAAATGTCCACTGTGTGCAGACATTTGAGGCATAAAATCAAAATCCTGAATTTGCCACTTGCTGATGACCTTATGCAGGTTATTTTACCTGTCTTCTGCCTCAGTTTCTTCATCTATAAAACAGTCCTTCTATAGTAACATGAGGGGTATGGTAAAAATGGTAAACTATAAAGAAAAACATAAATATAAGCTATTACTAGTATTACAGATGGAAGAATCAGACCCACAAACAAGGTGTTCTATACTGATATATCTCTCTCTTTCTAAAAAGTAAAGAATATTAGCAACAGAGGCAGACAGGTTTTGCCTATGCCAGGGGAGTGTGGGAGTGTGAAATTTTCTAACCTGGGGCTATAGTGTTTTCTTAGCCAATCAATACTTGTGGTTAGGCAAATTCCAAAAAAATTTATTCACCACAAAAATTAGATGATTTAAGTGAAGTATACTTTAAATTTCCTTCACCTCTGGCCATATAAAATGGTCAAACTTAATTTGCAGAGGAGTTTTGGAGTTCCTGTATGTACAAATAACAATAAGAAAGCAAGCTATCGATTTTCTCATCTTTCAAGACAAGAACATTAATTTGGGATTCTAAGAAAAAAAAAGAAAACCTCAGAAATATAAATTAATATTTTCTAATATAAGAAACAGAACAATGATATTAGGTGAAAACAACAATGGCTTGTGACTCAGGGGATCTCTCACTTTGCCAATAATTAGCTGTAGACCACTGAGCAAGTCACTATCTTTAGGTCTTAGTTTCTTCCTCTCTAAAATGACAGAACTAGACAAGATAATCTCTAAGAGGTCCCTTCCCATTCTAAAATTCAATGACTGTGATGACACACATTTATGTTACATAACCAGGAATTTCCCTATTTCGCTTTTAAAATGTTAAGTGTCCTGCCTCACTATTTGTTTAGGTTAGATAAAACTAAGGACTAAAGTTCACTTTACACATCATTTTAAAATAGTAACCTCACATGGCTGACTAGGCCTCTCTGGGCTGTAAATGAGGACTAGATAAATGACCTTTAAGGTCTTTTTCCTGCTCTCATCTATGATCCTATGGTTTTTGGTTCACATTTTCAGTCGAAAACTTATCCTTAAATGTGAATGGAACCTCTCTTAGATACCATTATTCTTGCCAACATCTTAACAAAATGAAAACTACTCTACTCTTTATGGAGTCCAACACTCTAAAAAAAATCAGCTATAACAGAACAGTGTAGCAAAGGGGAAAAAACCAGCAAAGTGCATGCTGTTAGTCTATAAAATTTGACAGGCATACTATTGCATCAAATCTAATACTTTGTATTCTCTAATCACGTATATCATCAAATTCTTCCAGCCAATCTATTAAATAGATCAAAATGCAACACCAGAATGGTAATATATAAGCCATAGGATTATAATTATTTATGTAATTATTACGGCAAAATTTTCAAGGTAAAACTGCTCCAAAATTTTGTACACTTTGGAATTAAATGCACTTTATATTTTTGCCATCTACAAAACTGGAACAATTATACACCAATATCCCTTGTAAAACAGATTTAATGTCTCAGTCAACAGATGTATTAATACATCAAGGCATATTTGATTAAGGATCTATCTCTGCTCTCCATAAAAAAAAGAATGGCAATTACAGCAAAAAAGTTTGAATGCACCATACAATTCCTTAGCCTCACACAATTTAAAGTGTATTAACAGCTCATTTTTTTTTAAATTGTAATTTAATTTTTTCAGTTCCAAATTGTCTCTCGCCATCTCTCCTTCTCATTGAGAAAGAAAGAAAACAAAACTAATTACAAATATGTTTAGTCAAATAAATTACCACATTAGCCAAGTCCAAAAAAAATGCTTCAATCTGCACTCTGAATTTATCATATCTCAATCTAGAGGCACGTTTATTATGAGTCTTCTGGAACTGTGTTTAAACAGACATTAAGGATAGATATACAATTCTCACAGTTGTGTTGCAGGCTGGAGGAAGAGACTTCAGTACCACTCTCTGAATTCAGTGAACTGCCTCCATAACACACTCTAACCATATTGTCACTCAACCAATAACAAATACCAATCCCAGTGAAATATCGATTTGGCAAGTATGAAAATCAAAGAGAAGAATCTAAAACTAAATAAAGGTTACTTATCATCTAGAAACTTCAGTTAAGATCAGTTAAGATATAAGTAGCATATGTAAGAAGTCTCCTAACATTCCAATGGGTTCTCTCTTATATAGAATAAGATATGATGCTGAATTTTGTCAATTTACCTGTTCTGCTTCCACATAAATGAGTGGAAATCCCATTTGCTTGGTCCATGTACTCATCACAGCTGCAATAGGTTTACCACTGGCATTTTCTAAACTTTCCCAAAGGTCCTCTGCAAAAGAAATACAATCAGTGAAAATTCAAGGTCTCTAGGATTCTTTATGCCAAACAAATCATAAACTAAATCTTTAGGCTACATCACGAAGATTTTAGTTATTATTTGGTTCCTCCTAGACTGAATTCTATTATACAAACCAATCATTCATTTTAAGTTAAGAGGTTAAGCTTTGATTAAAGCTATCAATAGCACTAAGTAAATGTAAAAGGTGAAAGATTTATAGGATCTGAAGAGAAACCAGAGTATAGCACTAAGTAAATGACAACTTGTTTGAACAACCTTGTTTTCATTTTATTATAGGGGCTCAGTTAATACTTTCTTGTGCCAATAACTGTAATAGATATTTTATTTCTACCAAAAATTATTTACCTTTACAAAACAAAACAAATGGTAAAGACAGCACTGTTCCATGTTCAACTGGAAAGCTGTTAAAATTCATTAATAACTGGTAAGTTAGTAAGCTGTACCTGCTTTGACACTCTTGTTCTCAGCCTGATAGTTCATTTATTTACCTAGCTTCATTAATTCAAAGATATATGTATTAATGTATTAAGCACCTATTACGTCTTGAACACTGTACTAAGCTTGGGAAATACAATGATTAATAGTATACCCCAGTCAAGTACAGGAGATAATATGCTCACAAATGATTATAATATAGAATAGAAAGTAAAAGTACATTAACAGGTATCAAGTGCTTAGAGAGTTCAGAAAAAGAAGAAATTACCTGAAGAGGAAGGGATAATTATAGAAGGCTTCTGGAGGAATTAACATTTAAGTTGGGCCTCCATAACCAAGTTGGAATTGAAAGGAATTGGCGCAGCGGGGGGGGGAGGCTAAGAAGCAGGAATGTTTTGTTGTTGTATCCTTAGTATCTAGAGCAGTTCAGGGGACATAGGAGGTACTTAATAAATGCCTGGCTCAAACACCATTGCTAGGGCTATATCCCCGAAGACATAGAAAAAAGAGAAAGGGGAATGCAGATGGAAGCATGTTATTTGCTCTCTTTTTCTTCTGTTGTTTTGTTCTACTGCTTCATTCTCATGCTTCCTCCCATTAGTTCTAATTGTTCTTTACAGCATGACTAATGGGAAAATATGCTTAACATGAATATACATGTATAGCTTATAACAGATCCATGGCGGGGGAGAGTGGGAGGGGGAGAAAATTTAAAACTCAAAATCCTATGGAAGTGAATATTGAAAACTAAAAATAAATGAATATTAAAAAGGGGGAGGGGCCTATCTATACAAAAATATTTACAGCAGCCCTTTTTATGGTGGCTAAGAATGAGAAATCCAAGGAAAACCCATCAATTGGGGAATGGCTAAACAAGCTGTGGTTACATTACAATCACATGACTGTAACAGAATATTATTGTGCTATAAGAAATGACAACCAGAATGATTTCAGAAAAACCTGGAAAGATTTACATGAACTGATCCATAGTGAAGTGAACAGAACCAGTAGAACGTGAACATTATATGCAGTAACAGAAAAACTGTTTGATGAAGAACTGTGGATGACTTGGCTATTCTCAGCAATACAATGATCCAAGACAATCCCAAAGAACTTCTGATGACCAGGAGCCAAGATGGCAGAGTAAGAGGTGAGTTTCTCTTACCCTCCCTTATTAACCCCAGAAAGCCCAGAAAATATCACCCCAGGAAAAATCCTGGAACAGCTGAATCAGAAGAAAGATGGGGTATAGCAGTCCAGTAGCCCAGGTAGCTTGAGGGATTAACTGGAAAGGCCCCTCTTATCCTGGGGGAAAGGGAGCAGTACAGAATGGGTGGTGTCCCAGCAAGCTAATGAAAAGCCCCACCTCAGCATACCAGGAGGAAATCCTGAAGCCCAGGTGGTGGAACAGGCAAACACCAACACCTGGACCCCCGAATGCATCACTGAGGACAGGCAACTGGTGGAAACCAGCTCAGAAAACTACCAGGTGCCTCAGCATTCTACAGCAACCAGTTCTCTCAGTGCCTAAGCAAAACTAAGGGAAGCAGCACTCCAAGGGGCCCGAGGCAGATAAAACACCCTACAACATCCATCTGAAAGGAGCTGAAGAAAGCAAAAGGAAGTAAAGGCCTGGGTGAGCAGGAAATCTCCAGGAGCCACACTACCTAATCCTAGCCCTAGAGTTTCACTGTTGCTGATTCCAGCCCAACACCAGGCAAGCTGCCAGAATCCTACAGCCTCCAACTGCCAACACTGGAGGCCCCAGCACACAAAGCCATCGACCAGGCCCTAGACTCCCAACACAAGAAGCTTGGGTCAGTGCCCTCTGCTCCCCAGCAGGAGAGCCCAATCTCTTTAAAGGCCAGGAAACAAGCAAACACCATGAGCAAAAAGAAACATACAATAGATTCTTATTATGGGAAGAGTGAAGATCAAGGCAGAAATTCTGAAGAGGACAATATTGTTAACAAACCCACATGTGGAACCTCAAAAGGGAATATGAACTGGTCTGAAGCCCAAAAAGTCTTCTCAGAAGAGTTCAAGAAGGATTTGAAAAGTCAAATGAGAGAGGTAGAAGAAAAAATAGGAAAAGAAATGAGAGGTATGTAAGAGAGAATCAATAGCTTGGAAAAGAAAGGACAAAAATTAACTGTACAGAACAAGTCCCTAAAAAATACAATTGGCCAAATGGGGAAGGAGGTTCAAAATCTAACAGAAGAAAACAATTTGTTAAAAATTAGAATTGAGCAAATGGAAGCTAATAACTCTATGACAGAGCAAGAATCAAACAAAAACAAAAGAATTAAAAAATAGATGAAAATGTAAAATATCTCATTGGTAAAAACAACTGACCTTGAAAATCGATCCAGGAGAGACAATTTAAAAATTATTGATCTACCTGAAAATCACCATGAAAAAAAGAGCCTGGACAGTATCTTTCAGGAAATCATAAAGGAAAACTGCCCTGAGGTCCTAGAACCAGAGGGTAAAATAACCATAGAAAGAATCCACCAATCACCTCCTGAAAGAGATCCCAAATTGAAAACGCCAAGGAATATAGTAGCCAAATTTCAAAATTACCAAGTCAAAGAGAAAATACTGCAAGCAGCCAGAAAGAAACAATTTAAATATCATGGAACCACCGTCAGGATTACACAAGACCTTGCAGCTCTAGACCATAGGGCACGGAATATGATATTCCGTAAGGCAAAGGAGCTTGGATTACAACCAAGGATCAACTACCCAGAGACAATGAGCATTATCTTTCAGGGGAGGAGATGAATATTCAGTGAAATAGGGGACTTCCATACCTTCTTGATAAAAAGACCAGAGCTCAACTGAAAATTTGATCTTCAAATACAAGACTCAAGAGAGACATAAAAAGGTAAACAGGACAGAAAGAAACAACACGTTATCAATAAGGGCAAACTGTTTACATCCCTACAAGGGAAGATGACACTTGTAACTCTTGAGAACTGTATTGTTATTACACCATGTTTAAAGGGGTATACGTAAAGGGGGTAGGTATAAATTGATTTTGATGTAATGATGAAAAAAATCTAATCAAGTGGATTAAATGGATCCAAGTAAGTGGATGAATCTGATCTAACTAAGAGAAAAGGAAAAGAGGAAGCAGACATGGGTAAATTACATCACAGGAAAAGGAACAAAAATCTTCTAAAGCAAAGGGAAAGAGGGGAGGGAGATGAGCATTGTTTGAACCTTAATCTCATTATATTTGGGTTAAGAAGGGAATAACATAATCAGTTAGGTATAGAAATCTAACATGCTCTGTAGGCAGTAGGAGGGAAAAGGGGAAAGAAAAGGGAGGGGGCTAATAGAAGGTAGGTGGGACTGAGGGAGGTGGTAGTCAAAAGCAAAACATTAGCGAGGAGGGAAAATGAGAAAGGAGAAAGAAAAGCATAAAGTGGGGGGAAGAATGGAGACAAAGTCACAGATAGTAATCATAATTGTGAATGTGATATATGAACGTAATGGAATACTATTGTGCTATAAGAAATTACGAACAAACATTAGATAAACCTGGAAAGACTTGTATGGTTTGATGCTGAGTGAAGTGAGTGGAACCAGGAGAACATTGTACATAGTAACAACCACACTGTGCAATGACTAACTTTCTTGACTTAGCTCTTCTCAGCAATGCAAGGATCTAAGACATCTCCAAAAAGTTTCATGCTGGAAAATATTAACCACATCCAGAGAAAGAACTATAGAATCTGAATGCAGATCGAAGCATACTCTTTGCTTTTTTCCCTTCCGTTTTGTTTTGTTTCTTCTTCCTTGTGGTTCCTCCTATTGGTTCTAATTCTTCTTTACAACATGACTAGGTTTAATAACATGAAAAGGTTTAATAGGAATGTATATGTATAGCCTCTATCAGATTGTGTGCCATTTTGGGGAGGGAGATGGGGAGAGAGGAGGAGAAAATTTAAAACTCAAAAACTTATGGAAGTGAATGTTGAAAACTAAAAATAAAAAAATTAATTCAAAAAAAAAAAGGAAGATGAGGCCTGATAAAGAGGTCACTAGTGACCTTTGAGAGAGTAGCTTTAGCAGATTTTAAGAGGCTTAAGAATAGAACAAAGAACGAGTGAACGCTCCTTTCAAGAAGTTCAGCCAGGTCTCCAAAGGCCTCATGATGGAAAATGCTATCCACATCCAAAGAAAGAACTATGGAGTTTGAATGCAGATGGAAGCATACTATTTGTTTTTTTTTCTTTCTTCTGTTGTGTTTTGTTTCCTCTTTTTGGTGGTTCCTCCTATTGGTTCTAATTCTTACTTATAGTATCACTAATGTGAAAATATGTTCAATAGGAATGTATATGTATAGCCTATATCAGACTGCATGCTGTCTTGGGGAGGGAGAGAAAAATTTAAAACTCAAAAGTCTATGGAAATGATTGTGGATAATTCAAAATAAATTAATTAAAAAAAAAAGTTCAGTCAGGAAGAAAGACTAGTCTTAAAGTAGGAAGGCTAGGGAAATGATGTTATTAGGAGAATTCAAGTGGTTGATCAGAAGGATTGCAGGGATCTCTTTGCTGGTGCTAAGGCAGGATCCTCTTGCTTTACCTGTGCTTGGATCTGGGTCACAGTTCTAGGTGGCAATCCTGGGGCGAGGAGAAATGCTGGTGTGCCTTGGTGGAGAGGGAATCCTCCTCACAGTTCCAAAGCAGAAAACAGTGTTTGTGGTCACTCATAGACCAGAGCACAGGCCAGGAAAGGAGTAAACACCTTGCCCTTGATCATACCACCTTGGAAGAACTGAAAATTTACATGTCCCTAGAAGTTATCTCTGAAAACAGCTGCACAAAACCCCCAAAGCTTGGGAAATACATTCTCCACACTGGAAGCAGACCCCTACCTTAAGAAAGCGTTTAAAACTCAAGTAATTGGCTGGGATCATGAGCAAACTGCACAAAAAAAGTCAGACCACAGAATCTTTCTTTGATAACAAAGTCAAAGTTCCTATATCCAAAGTCTCCAAGAAAAATATGAATCAGTCCCAGCCAGAAGAGCTCAAAAAGGATTTTGAGAAGTAAGAGAAGTAGAGAAAAAAACTGGGAAGACAAATAAGAGTGATGCAAGAAAATCTTTTTTTTTTTTTTTTTAAGGCAATTGGGGTTAAGTGACTTGCCCAAGGTCACACGGCTAGTAAGTGTCAAGTGTTTGGTCTGAGGCTGTATTTGAACTCAGGTCCTCCTCACTTCAGTGCCAGTGCTCTATCCACTGTGCCACGTAGCTGCCCCCATGATCCAAGAAAATCATGAAAAACTAGTCAACAGCTTGCTAAAGGAGACCCAAGAAAATACTGCAGAAAATAATATCTTAAAAAACAGCCTAACCCAAATGGCAAAAGAGGTCCAAAAAGCCAGTGAGAATGCCTTAAAAAGCAGAATTGACCAAATGGAAAAGGAAGCCCAAAAGCTCAATGAAGAAAATATTTCCTTAAAAATTAGAATGGAGCAATTGGAAGCCAGTGACTTTATAAGAAATCAAGACATTGTAAAACAAAACCAAAATAATGAAAAAATAGAAGACAATGTGAAATATCTCAGTGGAAAAATAATTGACCTGGAAAACAAATCCAGAATAGATCATTTAAAAATTACTGGACTACCTGAAAGCCATGATCAAAAAAAGAGCCTAGACATCATCTTTCAAGAAATTATCAAAGAAAACTGCCCTGATATTCTAGAACCAGAGGGTAAAATAGAAATTGAAAGAATCCACTGATCTCCTCCTGAAAGAGATCCCCAAAGGAAAACTCCTAGGAATATTATAGTCAAATTCCAGAGTTCCCAGGTGAAGGAGAAAGTATTGCAAGCAGCCAGAAAGAAACAATTCAAGTATTGTGGAAACACAATCAGGATAACACAGGATTTAGCAGCTTCTACATTAAGAAACCACAGGGCTTGGAATATGATATTCTGGAGGGCAAAGGAGATAGGATTACAGCCAAGAATCACCAATCCAGCAAAACTGAGTATAATCCTTCAGAGGAAAAAATGGACACTCAGTGAAAGAGGACTTTTAAGCATTCTTGATGAAAAGAACAGAGCTGAACAGAAAATTCCACTTTCCAATACAAGACTCAAGAAAAGCATGAAGAGGTAAACATGAAAGAAAAATCATAAGGGACTTATTAATGTTGAACTGTTTACATACCTATATGGAAAGATGATATCTGTAACTCATGAGTCCTTTGTTGGAGGGAAAAAAATTATATGGATAGACAGGTTGATAGATAGAGAGCATAGGGTGAATTGAAGATGAATGGGTAATATCTGGAGAATAAAATTTAGGGGTGAGAGAGGATTATACTGACAGAAGGAGAAAAGGGAGGCAGAATGGGATAAATTATCTCACGTAAAACAGACAAGAAAAGGCTTTTACAGTGGAGGGGAAGTAGGGGAAGGTGAGAGGGAATGAGTGAATCTTATTCTCAATGAATTTGGCTTAAGGAGGAAATAACATACACACTCAATTGGGTATAGAAAGCTATCTTACCCTACAGGAAAATAGGGGGGAAGGAGATGGGAGAGTGATGAAAAGAAGGGCAAATTGAGAGAGGAGTAATCAGAAGCAAACACTTCTGAGGATGAACAGGGTCAAAAGAGAATAGAATAAACGGAGGTGGGATAGGATGAAGGGAATTATAGTTAATTTTCCACAGCATGACTACTATGGAAGTGTTTTGCATGACTACACAAGTATAACCCATATTGAGTTGTTTGCCTTCTCAATGAGGGTGGGTGGGGAGGGAGGAAGGGACAAAATTTGGAACCCAAAGTTTTAAAAACAAATGTTAAAAAATTGTTTTCACATGCAACTGGGAAATAAGATATTCCAGCAATGGGGTACACAAATCTGTCCTGCCCTACAGGAAAACAGAAGAGGAAGGGGATTAAGAGATAAGGGGGTTGAGATAGAAGAGAGGGCAGATTAGGGGAAAGGGTATTCAGAATGCACGCTGTCTTGAGGTTGGAGGAGGGAAAGAAAATTTGGAACTGGATCCTGTGGAAGTGAATGCTGAAAACTAAAAATAAATAAATGAATCTTTAAAAAGAAAAAAAGAAACTATCTACAGGTAAAGCCTCAAAGAAAAATGCATATTGGACCCAAGCCTAACAAGAATTCCTAGAAGACTAAAGAAATTTGTTTTGTTTTGTTTTTAATTAAAAAAAAAAAGGATAAATTTAAAAAAAGATTTAAAAATCAAATGAGTGGCAGAGTATAAGTTGTAAAAGAAATGAAAGCTATGTAAATTTGTGAAGCGTGTGTGCATGGTTTTACAGCTCTTTGGACATAATTCCATATTGTAATCTAGAACAGCTGAACAAGTTCACTATTTCACCAGCAGTTTATTAGTTTTCCCCTCATCCCAGAGTTGCTTTAATTTGCCTTTCTCTGATTAATAGTGATTTGCATAGGTTTCCAAACATGGCGATACTACCCCTTAGTGGGTGCTGGAATGATCCAGGAGGATGGTAATAGTTCAGGGGGAAAAAAAACTGTTGAGGGTTAAAGAAAATACATTTCCAGGGGGACGCTGAGTAATTTTTTTCTTCTGAAGAGGGTAGTAGACCAAATAAGTTTGGAAACCTCAGATAGGAACTTTTTTTTTCCATACATCTACAGAAAGCTTTGATTTCTTCTTCTGAAAACTGCCTGTTTATATCCTTTGATTATTTATCAATTGGGAAATGGCTGAACAAGTTTTATATGATTGTGACAGAGTACTATTATGTTAAAAGAAATGTGGAAGCGGATGGTTTCAGAAAAATATGGCCAGACCTATATGAACTGATGATGAACAGTAAAGTGAGAAGAACGGGAAGATCATTGTGCACAGTAACAGCAATGACGATCAAAGGTCTCATGATGAAAAAATGTTATCCACCTTAAGAGACAGAACTCATGAACTCTAAGTGCAAACTGAAGTATAATTTTCTCTTTCTTTTTCTTGCTTTTATTTGGAAATATGGCTAATGTGGAAATGGTTTGTATAATTTCACATGTATAACTGATACCTGATTGCTTGACTTTTCAATGGGCATGGAAGGGAGAGAGTTAGGAAGTGAAAATTTAAAAAAAAACCCCACTAAAAATAAATAATTCAAGTATGTTTTAAAATTTTAAAAATTCTGAATAACTCCTTAAAAATCAGAACTGGCCAAATGGTAGAAGAGGTACAAAAATTCAATGAAGGGAAAAAAACTCCTTAAAAATTAGAATTGGCCAAATGGAAGCTAATGACTAAATAAGACATCAAGAAACAATAAAATAAAGTCAAAAGAATGAAAACATACAAGATGGCCATTAGACCAATTTTTAGTGGCATACAGGTTTATATTTTCACTTCACTCTGCATCTGCTGCTCTGCTTGGTTTTAACTTCATGGAATAAGACTCTCCAGCTGGGTACCCCCTAGTGTTCTTCTCTGCCTCCCCTTTTCCTGCTTTCTTTGTGTGTTGTTTCTTCCTTTAGATTGTAAGATTCATGAGGGCATGGACTTTCTTTTTATTAATTGTATTCCCAGAGCTTAGCACAGTGCCTGGCACATAGCAGGTGCTTAATAAACGTTTATTGATTGGAATGGATGCAGGTCAGTCACCTTGGTCACCAAAGCTTTTTCTGTCTACCGTTTGACAATGTAAGCCCAACTCCATCCCTTTAATCTCAACTGTTTGTGAAGGTTTATCCATATTCCAATTTCTCTCCCTCCCCTCTCTCACCCCACCATCCCAGACTTAATACTGACTTTAACATAAGAAAAATTAAGAAGTATATTAGGAAAAATACACCAAAAGAAAGTAGATTCAGGGAAAATGGAACACTAATTTCAACACAAAGGCTATTTTGGTAATCTTACAACTAAACTATGTCCAGGTTACATTGGAATTTTGACATTCTAAGTGGTCTATCTGCATCTGACTTTCACAGCTTTTCCTATTTTTAAAAACTTTTTTGTATACTAAAGAACTCAAAGCTCCATGTCTTCCTTTTTTGTATTCAAAAGAATACCTATCAACTCTTATTTATGCAATCAGTAAATAACTGTCAACATTAGAAACTCAAAAAGCAACTGTGAGCATTATAGATTAGAATACATTGAAATTACCTGATTTTAGATCCATAATCCCAAATGACCATTTTTACAAATTGATATTTTCAGATGATTTAATGGTCAATTATCTAATAATTCAATAGCCTAGGGTGTTCTGCTTCAGGTAAATATAGCACCTTCAAATAATTAAAATAGCAGCACATACTGCTGAGTGAGCAGAACAGTGGATGACAATGACTTTTGACCCACTTGAGACTCACTCTTTGGCAAAAGCAATTCACTTACCTAATGTACATTAATCTAAATGGAAAACTGGGCATGTGAGAAAACAGTGAAACTGTTTTGAATCAATGTATCACATCAAATGGTTCCTGAATATAAAATGTAAACCTTTCTTTTCTTTTCATACCCCTGAAATATTAAACATTACCTGTGGCTGCATTCTTCTGTTGGAACTTGGTTAAGTATATGTTCATTCCTTTCTTAAAGTCCTAAAAATACACAATTTTTAATGTCACAATATCAGATTTGTGCCCATTTCCACATCAATATTCTCACTTATCAGAATGAGACAAATATTTCACTACTGCTTTTTATCTCAATTTATTTTTACATTTTGGTACTTGAAAGTAATTATAGTTATTTTCAAATTCAGAATTGTACATTCTAAAAACAATGGGTCTTCCTGCCTTATAAATCCTTTTGCCCACTACCTGAGAACACATACACTCTATACATTTCTCTACCACAGCTATTTGTAATAATTAAAAACAAAATCCTTCCCAGAAGAAAATAAAGGGAAAAATCATCAGTAAACATTAAGAAAATATTAAAAAAAAAAAAGCAATAAGAAATCATAAAAGGACACACACAAGCAGGGCTGTGTTTGCACATTGTGAAATTCAACACTTAAAATTTTTTTTAAAATGAGCTACTCTTAAGAGACTCAAGGTTTTTTTTATACCCATCTTTGTTCTGTTCTTCTTTGTCAAGTTCACACATTTAAATGACAATTTTAAAAGATCCTTTCCATTTCTATTTAACATAAATAATCTACATTTTTCTACATGATCATCTAAGAGATCATGACAATCAAGGTAAACAAAACCTAAGGACAAAATAAAACCTGGTAACATTTCCATAAATAAGAACTTGTTTGGCTATTAGAAATTTAATCCAAATAGAGAATTCACTTGTAAGACTAACATAATAACATATTTCTTCATAAACACAAAGTAATGCCTCACTATAAACTTTTACCAGAAATGGTAGAAGACTGTTTTGTGTGTGCATGTGCATTTTTTTTTTACCTTATCCCCAATGTAGTCATGCAACATTCTGATGACAGACGCCCCTTTGCTATAGGATATAGCATCAAATATCTCATCAACTTCAGAAGGATGGCCCACACTGACCTGGCAGATAAGGTGTGATTTAAGGTTAGTAAAGTAGAAAAGACTAAAAAATTAAATTACTTTCCTAAAAACCTTCAGACTTTTAGGAAGATTTTAGGAAGAGATTTCTGTCCACTCATTATATATTGCTGACCTACCACAAATTTTAAGTAGCATATTAATAAAGTAGAATGTTTAACCTTATCTCCTTTTGTTTATTATTTTCTCACAAAATAAAATCAACCTAATATGACTGTGTGGAATGAAAGAAAGAATTAAAAAAATAAAGCTGGGGGTGGATGGGAATACAATGGGGGAACCCTAAACCAACAGATGTTTCATTTACTTTCTCCTACTAAGAATAATGATCTATAGCTACATAAAACCATGATCAATGATGTCAATGACTCTCATTTTTGATGTTCAAGACTCTCATTCTGAGTTTTTTTTTTTTTTCAGATAAGTTAACTGGGATAAAGAAAGGTTAAATGACAATCAAGAGTCATATGAACGGCAATGGAAATAGCCAGACTGAGTTAATCTTTTCATGTAAGTTTTTTTTTTAATTCAATTTATTTTAAGTTCCAAATACTATCTCTTCCTCTCCTCTGCCCCACCCACTGAGGTGAGAAAAACAAAAACTCTTATAGATAGCTAGAGTCACACAAAACAAATTCTCACATTAGCCACGTCAAAAAAAAAAAAAAAAAGGAAAAGATGCTTCAACCTGGACTCTATGCTGAGCCTATCAGTTTTCTATCTAAAAACATACAGTATATTTGAAAGGAGTTCTTTGGAGTTGTAGTAAGTCATTGTGTTGATCAGTTACTAAATCATTCAAATTTCATTATCTTTACAATACTATTGTTACTTTATAAATTGTTGTCCTAGTTCTACTCACTTCACTTTCAATCAGTTCCTGTTAAGTCTTCCCAGGTTTTTCAGAAACCATCCCCTTCATTATTTATTCTAGCATATTATTCCACCACATTCACATATTATAACTTGTTTGCCAACAAGAAAGGGCAGATTTAAATATATCTGTACATATGGGCCCTGCCCCCCTCTCCTTTTTTTTTAATCTCTTCGGAGTATAGACTTAAGAGCAGTATTGACAAGTCAAAAGGGATGTAGAGTTTAATAGCTTTTTGGACAAAGTCCCAAACTGCTTTGTAGAATGATTAAATTAGCTTACAGTTCCACCAACAGTGCATTAATGTACATCATTTTTCCCCCCAGGTCTCCTTCCATCATTTATTTACCATTTTTGTCTTCTTAGATAATCTGATGAGTGAAAGGGAGTACCTTAGAGTTGTTTTAATTTGCATGCCTCTACATGGGATTTAAAGCATTTTTTCATATGGCTGTTGATAGCTTGCATTTCTCTCTCTGAAAACTGCCAATTCATATCCCTTGATCATTTATTTATCATTTGAGGAATGGCTATTATTTGTGAAAATTTGACTTAATTCTCAATATATCCTAGCAATGAAGACTTTCAGAAAAACCTACTACAAAGATTCCTCCTCCCTCCCTGCCAATTTCTTGCTTTTCTTCTAATTTCAGTTGCGGGTTTTGTTTGGTCAAAAACTTTCAGATTTTATCAAAATTACCCATTCTACCTCCTGCGAACATCTCTCTCTTGCTTTGTCATTAATTCTTATCCAGAGATCTAATACGTAATTTCTTCCATATTCCATTAATTTTGCTTTTCACGTAAGTTCTTAAAAATATAAGGGCAACAAATTCCCCCCAAAAAAGTTTACAGTTAATAACTATGTACAATGAAGGCTAGTCTTAAATGCTCAGTTTACAACTATGGTTCAGTAAGCAAGTATTTACTGAGTGCCCCACAGGATATAATATTCGAGTACAAATTTATATATACCAAAATCAAACAAATTCCCAGCCTACTTTAAAAAATAACCTAAATTAGAAGTTAGCTTTACTAGATTTTTAAAGACTGAAAACATCAGATATAGCAAATAAAAGTAAAGTTAACCATGCAATCTTTTCCTCTTTTTGGACTCTTTGAGAAAATTTTCTACGTAACAAGTTACTGATTTCACTGAAAAGTGAGATAGCTTTATTTTTAAGGCTAACAGTGGGAAACAATAGCTTACTTTACTTACTTCAATAGGATGACTATTATCTAAAGCATCAAGCTCTTGGGCTCGGGTATAATCAGCAGAAACAAACTGAGTCCAGATATCATATTCTGGGAAGCAATGGTCTACACACAGATACTCAATCCAAGAGGCAAAGCCTTCATTTAGCCAAAGATGAGTCCACCATTCCTTAAAAAATAAAAAATAAATTTGAGGAGTATTTTAAGAAAATATCTATTCAATTATTTTGTAAAATGTTTCACTTAGCCTGTGCTCTAACACTAGCAATTTAATGAATTACAAAAGCAACTCAAAACATCTAGTAAGTAGTCCACTTCTTTGGAGAAAGCTAAGTTTCATAAAAAAGCAAGCCAAGCAGAAACAAGGAATATGACTTTAGAAGTTTAGTGAGGGTATCTCTCAAATGACACTAGCCACTTCTAGGTAGCTTTCACTATCCAACAATGTGTAGGAAAAAGAAACGTGAAAAAGAAAGGGGGGGTAATGGGTAAGATGTCAAAGAAAGAAAAAATGAGAACCTGTCTGTGTAGAGATTATACTAGAATTTCTCTTCACAGAGAACAGAGGGATACTGAAAGAAAACAAGGCAATGTAAAACAAAAGAACCTTCTCATGCTTGCAGAAAATAGTTACTGTCAATCATAATGTAGGTAACTAGGAAAGGTTATATGAAATACATGAGCAATCAGTGGGACGGTAATAGTAGCTTGAAAGCTCTTAGGAATTCTATATGAAACTGTATTCTGAATAAAATCAACTTCCAATTATTTTTTAGAGAAAAGATCTTGATGCAATTTTTGTTATGTTTGGTAAGACAAATATAGAATGAATTCCAAGGGATTAATGTGACTATGAAAAGTCTTCCAACTTTACTTTCAAATCCCATATAAGATTTTTTTAAATATCCATTTTATAAGCTGGAAGTGGTCACTGGTCATAAATACTTGATTATTTAGTCCAACTAAGGCTATACGCTAGTACAAAATTTTTCTCCAATCGATATGTTCATTTCAGTTAATCAATTCAGTTAATCAGTTAAACTAACTTTAATAATAGTATCAAAGAATTAGTATTTCATGATTGGGAGAAGTGAAGTTATCTTAAAATGTGAGACACACTCTCTCAGTAGAGCAAAATCATTCCTAGAGGCCTCTCCAAGAAGCCACAACTCGAGTCCACTTCTGAAAGCTGTGCAAAAACATTCTTTGTTTGGAAAGAAACAGCTAACCCAATTTTACTAAGAGAGATACCTCTACATACCTCTCAACTTTCAAGCATGAGGATACCACTTTTACACTAAATTATATTTCAAAGCGAACTTTTCCCCTTCAAAATATTAGGAATGCGGTGATAATCAAAGGGATTTATTATGATTAAATAAAACAGTGAGCTTTCTTTAGAAACCTCAAATATACCATGTTGGTTTGATAAATTCCTCATTCTTTTCCTTGTTGTGACATATGGACCCAAAGCTCCATCCAAGTCATGTTCTGCTCTTTGGCGGTCTGAATACCACAGTTAGGGAATTTGGCTGGCTCCAGAATCTCCAAATCCTTTCACTGCAGTGTTACTTCTAGTTCGTTTATTAAATACTGTGCTTTTGGCACCGCCGTCTACTTCCCAACCTCTAACACAGTTGGCTTCCATAAATAGCATTTGTTTAGGGGGTAAGAGAAGAGTGGCAGACTAAGTCTGAAGGACAGGGACTATTCACTGCAGAAATCTAGTAAACAAGGTTTTCAGTACTACAGTGTGGGAATTTATAAACACCTTTCAGCTACACCACTTTCTCTTTGCTTTGATTCCCATTTAAAAGCAAGGGGGAGGGGAAGAGAGAGACACAACACAGAGAGATTATATCCAGAAATGACTATAATGTAAAAACAAAAAGGACTCATAAAAATTATTTCAAATGTTTTAAGAAGTGACTCCCAGAAACTCCACCCGGCATCAAAATAGCTGTTTAGTTTGGTACCTGATCAGAACCCTATCTTATTATAGTAACTTAATATTTATGTATAGTTGAAGGATATTTAGTCAATGAAACACTTATAAACAAATGTGAAAACAAGTTTAACACCTTTTCTGCTTAACAAATAATATTCAAAAACATCCAACCAATAGAAGGATTCTGAAACTCACTTTTCAAGGTAGACCTTTTAAAATAATTCCTCTCCATCACCCAATTTTTTCCTTGTGCACAATACTCCAGCCAACCCCAGAAATGTTGTGTAGTCAAGAGGATGTGCAGCAGTAGCAGGATGAAAGTAAATATATTGAAAACACTCAAAAATATTAGATACCATAGTAACAAGATTTCCAAACCATTGATGGGCGAGTTCATGTCCCACAACCAGAGCAACCCACTGGCGGGATGAAGAACAGGAGTTTTTTGGATCAATAAGCAATGCAGTCTCCCTATGTTTAAAAAGAAAACAAAAACAAAAACAAAAACAAACCAAACTGATTAATACAGCAAGAAAAAACAAAGCAATGACAGGAAAATACACTGAAAAAAAGTTTCCTATAAAATAGTGCATAAAAATATCAAATTCAATTCCAGAGACCTACAAGGAAAACATTATTCCACTGTATGTGATGTTAGGGCAAGAAAAAAATAAAATTAGATTAGATCTTAATAGAACCTGAGTACTTCTATAAAAGATTAAAGACTTAATCAGAAAGAATTCTTCTCACTTTGAAGGTAAAATATGAGGCTGTCTAAAATCATGGAATTTCATCTAGAAGATAAGGAAGAAACTTGTGTTCTTCTAAAAATGGAGAAGAGAAAAAAATGCATTCCACATAAACAAAAACCAAAACACTGAGTTGACTGTTTGAAATGTAATTCATCTGAGGAGACAACTGAAAATGGAAACTGGGAACTTATTTACAGACAGTGCCTTAAAAACCTAATGTTTGAGGCAGCTAGGTGGTGCAGTGGATAGAGCACTGGCCCTGGAGTCAGGAGGACCTGAGTTCAGATCCGGCCTCAGATACATAACTAGCTATGTGACCCTGGGCAAGTCACTTAATCCCAATGCCTAGCTTACATAAAAAAAAAAACCAAAAAATAAACCTAATGTTTGTGGTAATAGAAATGTAATAACTTAAGTTAGAAAATATACAACTAAGGCCAGTTTTCAAAGCTGGAGAAATAACTACACAACTATTATGGGGAGACTATACATCAATTAAAATGAAAAGTATGACAAGAAGTATCATCTGAAAAATTCTACTAGTGCTCATGTTGAAATCTTCCAACTCTGCACAGCAGGCTTGAAATGTTGATATGATTTTTCTGAAACGCACCTCCAGGGGCACTTTTTTTAAAAAAGGAAAAACATTTTCTTAAGCCTGCTATACCATTTTGTAATTGCTTAATATTCACGTAGGGTGAAGTCCAATGTCAGCAGTCCTTACATATAAAAAATAGGAAAGCAAAAGTAAGGCAGGACAATGTACTGTTAACATACCTATAAGTAACAAGGCCCCAGTTCTCCATGGCACCTTTATAAAATAAACACAAAAAAATTACAGATATTTATAATACATTCTACTTTCTTATAACATAATTCAAAGATCAATACAATTTAGCAATAAAATGAAATTTACTTTACCAGCTGCAAAGTCTGCAATAGCAATGAGATCAATTTTGGGTAGAGGATAAGGAACATTGAAGTAGTCCTTATAAAAAGGTAGAGTTTTAGCAGCAACCTACAAAAAAATGAACAAAGAGAGGCCTGATAAAGCTTTTGATTGTAATTGGCAAATAAGTCACAAGGGAAATCTGAAACTACCCTAGAAATATCAAGTTCTGAAATGCAGAAAACAACATCTCCAAAAGAATATCCAAATCTCATAATTTACAGAAACTATACAGTCAACCAAATTCTAGTCAAAATTCTAGTCAATAAATGACAGTAGTAAAGTTATAACTACACTATTATCATCCTGTCCCTGGATAAAAGTCAGTATCTCTTCTTATCATAACTTGGATTGTTTTAATTTACATGTTGTAAAACAATAACTCAAAACCAAGTTCAGATTTCCTGCTATCCCAACAGCAATAAACCACAAAGACAAAACAAATTTTACTTGATAATATAAATTAAAAAGTAATCCATTAGGAATACAAACTCTCCAACATAGATCCCCACCAAATGTATTTACCTCTAATGCAAATTTTCCTTGTTCTGCTTTGCCAACAGGTGTATAAACACGAACACACACACCATCTTTTGACCTCGTCTCAACAAAGTCATATTCTCCTACAACAAATGCCACCAAGTATGTTGACATGACAGGCGTTCGGGCAAACTTCACTTCAACCAAATTTTCATCATCAGGGTATGGTTTTCGGTCAATTACATTCTTTCAAATAGCAGAAAAAGAAATATACATTAGTCAATGACAAGCACAACCAGTCTACAAAAGTAAAACTACAAAATTCATTTAGCTTTTCTTCAGGCCTTTCTTTCCCATTTGGCTTCCTTATCAATTCCTATCCACAATAGGCCTAGTTCTATACACAGTCTTGACTTCCCCAATTCAGTACTGAAAGCTCTCTAACTCATTCATACTAGGACGTTAGGGATCAAAATATAACTTCTCTGAGGAAGATTTATACTGTAAAAGATACTTGGAGCAGGTGAATATAAAGAAATGATTTGTTAATGGGAGCATGTTATACTAAGTCTGAGTTACAAATACTTTGAGAAAGACAGAAGCCTTTCTTAACCTAGCATCCAACATCAGACAGTTTGGAAAACTGACCAAATTTTGCCTGTGAAGGCACCAACCAATTGTATGCCTGATAGGTTCCATTACCTCCCTTTACTCAGGTACTTGTCAACCACATCAGGTCTTAGGAAAGAACAGGAAAAACTTAGTGACCTAAAGGTACAAATGACTCTTTTGGCTTTAGGTATTACAGCTTTCCTAGGGATGTTTGCTTTTTAGTTAGTTGACAAAGAACAAAGGAACAAAATTGTGGAATTTCAGATTAGTCACTCAGGGTGGGAGAGGTCTACTTGGAGGCTTCTGAGCACTAATGTCTTTCCAGTGTTACTGGAATCATTACCAGAACTACCTCCAGCTCTGCCTATTCGTAATGTCATTGGTAGTCCTTCAAATATCATCATATATGTGGACTGCTACTTAAGAGTCAGGTAAGTCCTGGTTATACAAAAATTTAAAAATTCTAAAACATAATTAACTACCAATACAACTTCCCTCTATAACACAAATAAAAATTTTGAAGCTTATTGAGAAAAAGCCAAAACTTTTTCTCCTACCACTTAATAAAAAAATTTAAGTTGTTTTAACTTGATTCTGGCTTAGCTACTTGCATTTAATTGTACTCTAAGAGTATACTTCTTTCAAAAGAGTATAGACAGAAGATTCAAATAAAAGTATTTAAGAAAAAGTTAAATCAGTAAACCAAACTTCTAACAGCTTGTTACAAATTCCAACCTACTTATTTACACATACACACCATGTTTGATAAAGCTACTCTGTCCTTAGGGACAACCAATGAGATGTCAAATGTTGCTTTGATAGCAGGTTCATCCCAGCAAGGAAAAGCCCTACGGGCATCAGTAGCCTTAAGGAAAAAACAATTTCTCAATTAGTAAAATAGGAAACTTCATGAAGAAATCACAAACATTCCATTTTCCATTGGCTGTAATCTACTAAAGGCCTTGATAATAAATAGCATAGTAATAGTTTAAATTATAATTTTGCTTTCATCACAAAATATTACAGCATTCATTTTAAGCTTAATACAAACAGATTTATCAATATTCACTCCGATAAGAGAAAGCATGTAATAATCAATATATAACTAAGTACATAAAGCTAGGACAAGAAGAAAAGTCAACTAACTCCCTTATTTTAAAAAAAATAATGTAAAACAGTTATGAAGCAAAGAAACAGAAAGACTTTTTTGAAATGCAGGGTGGTTATTGTTTTTAAGTTTCCATTGGACTAATTTTCCTCAACTTATCAGGCTCTTAGAATTCAATTCAAGACATCCTGATATGCTTCATTCCTTAACAGGAAAAGTAGGACTAGCAATGCTATAGGATACATATCTCCTGATGAATAAAAAGAAATGTAATTTTCTACTGGTTCACACAAATTCTATCCCCATTTGACAAAAAAAAAAATTAAGGAAAAAAGCTAAAATAATACCAAAATAACCCCCAAACCCAACAATTGAATCTTTCTTTTTTTACCCCCATTGGAGCGTTTTTATTTGTATGTATGTTTTAAACCCTTCGAAAAAGAATCCCAGGATTTTTCCTCCTGTGTGGTTTTGTCTTGCTTCCCCATGGTCCATGATGTCAGCTGAGGTTGTAAGCACAAAGAACCCAAATTGACAGGATGGTAGCAGATTATTCTGCTACTTTTCCAGATCTTTCAATTGAACATCAAATCTAGGGCTGATTACACCACATTTGTTTAATCTGCCCTGAGGTTCACAACAATTTTTCCTATTCTGTGATCATCAATGATCTCAAATTTGCCAATGTAACCATGCTTCATCATCACAGTTAAGAACCAGATAATTACTTCAGAGCATGGCCTAATGAGAACCTGGTGTTTTCTTTCCTTTTCTGCATTGTTGATGCTTTTGAGAGCATCTGCCAGGACGTTCATGCGTACCATGGTGGCAGCGCTGCAAGATGGCAGAAAGAGTTTGAATCTTTCTTAAAAGAAAACAAAGCAGATCTATTTCAGATAAAGTCAAAATCTAAAAGCTTTAAGAAACACTTCCCATTACACAGGAAATAATCTTCATTCTTCAGATGGTCCAGTTTAAGTAGGAAATTGCCACTTTTCAAACACTAAAAGAATGTTTCTGATTATGAAGAGTGTCGTTTCTATAATCAATCCAAATACTAGATATCCAGTTCAGTATCTATCTGTCTGGTTTTGTTTCTTGTAAATGAAGCTGTACAGGATGTCCCAAAAGTCTCAGCCCAGTTTTAAGCACTTAAAACTGGGCTGAGACTTTTGGGACATGAAGTATAAATTCAACCACCATTACAGTTATTTTACTGAAGATCAGACAAAGATTTTTGAAATGACAAACACAGTTAAGGCTAATATCACCTGGCTTCAACTAGTTTTTCAATATAATGGAATAAACTTTACTTCAAACACTAATATTTGAAAAACTAAAGCAGTAGGGAAAACAGCACATACCTCAAACTGTGTGACAGCAGCATAACGCACCTCTCCAGAAGGAGTGGTGTATTTACTTCTATAGAAACCTTTCATTTTATCATTTAGCTCTCCAACAAAATCTATCTTTAAGGTTCCTGTACCTGTGATAGAGGACAAATGAAAATCACTATCATGAAGTTAAATATAAAATTGTTAACTTTCAAAGCAGTTTTATTCAGTTGGCAAATCTTAAAATTTTCCTTTTTTCAAATGTTTGCCTTAGAAACAAAGAGATAACTAAAATTAAGGTGCCAGGAATAATTCTGAAGCAAACCTTAATAGCTTTCACTTGTTTAAAAATCTAATTCAGCTTTTGGGGGGGATAACTTATATTTTCATGTGACCAAAATCACAGTTAGTATCAGATCTTATTTAACAAACATGAATAAGCTCACATAACCACATCACTTCATTAACAGTCTAAAATTACTAAAATAGGAATGGCTGGGCAAAATATGATATATAAATATAAAGGAATATTATTGCACCTTTGGAAATGAGTATCAAGAGCTAAGAGATTCTTGTTAAGATTTGCACATGAACTGATGCCAAGTCAAATAAGCAGAAGGATAACAAATTATATCTATAGTAATGTAAAGGAAAATAACTGGCCTTGTAATTTCATTGATATGTACCAGTGCCAGTTGGCACCTTCACTGCAACTTATAGTCTTTGAGAATTACTAAAGCACTGAGGATAGTAACTTGCCCAGGGCCACAGAGCCAGTATATGTCAGAGATAGAACCTGAATCTACTCTGCCATACACCTATCTTTCAACTGTTCTTTTTTTGTATTCTTTGCATATTGGAATATTTGCGTCTGTTAATGAATAATAAAATATAATAATAACACTTAAGAAATTGCCAAAATATATAATATATAATAAGTCCCTAAGAAAAACCTCCATAAATAGTCTTTGTTATCTAGGTTCATTCAAAATAGGACAACGGTTCTTTATCTTGACAACACTATACTCCTTTATAAAAAGTCCAGGATTCGTCTGAAAGATGTCAATAAAATGAACTCTGAAGCTTATCTAACTTTTCAAATAATAAATAATTATATACACCTAATCTATAAGTAATATAATGCTGACAAAAATGTAGGATAAGCTAGACAATTTCATTCTGTCCCAGCTCAGCATAATCATTTCATCTGACTTCCAGAGTGAACAGATTACAAGTGCATCTAGGGTTCAAGACATAAATTTTAAATTGCTAGAAATCAGCAATTATAAAATTGTCACCTACATTTCACAAACCAGATCACACAAAAGAAAAATGGTAACCTTATTACTAATTACTAACAATCTAAGCATAGTGTTTGGAAGATATTTAAATTTAATTAGGCGCATGTCTATAAAGAAATACATTAAAACTTATATATCCAGAAAAGTACCATCATTGTTCAAGCAGTCACTTTGGAAGCCACACACTTAATTATGTTATATTATTATATTATTTATAATTAACTTTATAATTAATAATAAAGATATCATATATATCTTATATAGTACATATATCAATACATAATATACATTATATATCACATGTATTAATATGTATTATATCTTAACATAATAATATATTTATAATTAATTTATAATTAATAATATTAAGTTATTTATAATTATATTAATTAGTTATGTTGCCACCATTCAGATTGTTTTACAAAGCCCATTTCAGAAATTTAGAACTTGAAGTTTGAGTATCATCAGTCAATCATGAATGAACAAATGAACAAAAAAGCATGTATTTTTATTCAGTGCTTACTAGGTACACAGTTCTAGGAATACAAATAAAAAAAAAACAACAAACAGTCCTTGCTTTCAAGGTGCTCATATTGTAACAGGGAGAGACAACACAAAAGGTTTCAACTGGAAGTCAGTGGACCTTGCTTAGGGTGTGTGACAAACCAGATGGTATGCAACTTCTTTAATTCGACAGTGCCAAGGACTCTAGGGACAAATAAGGTGGCTGATAAAATGGGCAAAATACTTTGGACAAAAACAAAGTGATTATAAAACAATAATTAGTTTTTTGAGTGGGGCTTATAAGTTGGTTTTGAGAGCAGTTTTAAAATAAGAGTTCTAAAAATAACTTAAATATTAATAGCATCACTGGAATGTATATAACTTCCCAAGGGCACTGACTAATTTACAGGGAAGGTCACCTACTTGGATATAAGTGTTCGTGCATGTATTTATCATATTGCCTTATAAACACACCTCACATGCCACTTTGTTAACAGAAAATGAGAAGAAACCCAAAAATAAAAAATGTTCTATATTCTCTATGTTCTTTCTTATGTCTCTTGAAGAAATGCTAAAGACCTAGGACAATAAGTGTCAATCCAGTTTATGAATTTAATGAAAATCAAGACAAAAGGGCACTAGTTCTTTAACCTATTCTGCCTCTTAAGGAATTAAAAAAAAATAAGTGAAAAAAGTGTTGTTTTTTTTTCTTTTTAAAGAGAGAGGTCTTCAAATGGTTCTAAATCTGAACAGCTACTAGTACTTCACCACGAAAAGTGCTATTCCACAGGACACTAACTACCAATGCTGAGGTTGCTAAGTATTTACAATGGCTATAGGCAACCACACAGCATTCCTGATGGTGCCAGTTTCAAAAATTATTTTTCCTCAAATGCAAATTAACTAGCGTGCATAATGATTAGTGGTTTAATAAGGTAAAGCAGAAAGATTACTGATGCCCACCTATGATCTGTTGAAAATTTCATGCTGTTATTAGGGAAGACAAATCCCCTGTGAGAACTGCTGAAATTCAAAGTAAGGAGAACCTCTCTCTTTCAGCATAAAATGACATACACAGTTCACAGAAGGGAATCAGAAAATAAAGATTATACCAAGTAGCTTTAAATCAATTAAAAGCAGATTTTCTATTTCTCTTAAAATGAATTAGGTGCTCTTTAAAGAAGTAGGACAACAGTCCTGGAAACCATCCACAGTACAGTTTAAAGGAGCAACTTAAGTTTCTACCCATTAACAACACATTGTCCCCAAGTATTTCACTTTGAATTCTTAAATTCCTTGGACCTTAGCACAAGGTTAGGAAGCTAGTGAGGGATAAGGAAACACTGTCTTTTAATGAATAAAACACAAACTACTAATTCACCTTATAGTTCCTGATGGCTAATTTACAATAACTGAGGTCAGATTTAAACCGACAGCACAGAAATGCCAAATGTGTTCTAGTATCACTCTCAGATTGTCAGAATCAACTCCTATCCCTTCTTTTTTGAAGATAAAATAAAGAACCATGGTGATGCAATGCTAGAATTCCTGCAACAGATGATAATAAAAATTATGATAAGAAATAAGAACTGCAATATTGCCTTTACAGTCTCTATCTTTCTAGTCTCATCTCACCACATTCTCTAAAATCTATTGGACACTCCACTTCCTGTCTTTGGGCATTTTCTCCACCTGTCCCCAATATCTGGAATTCTACTCCTCATCATCTCTGTCTCCTGACTTCTTTTTCAAGTACCAACTAAAATCCCACCTTCTCCAGGCTTTTCCCCATTTCCCTTAATGCTTGTGCCTTCCCTCCGTTGATCATCTCCAATTTATCCTGTCTATACCTTGTGTGTACACAGCTTTTCTGTGCTGTCTCTCCCATTATACTATGAGCTCCTTGAAAAGAACTGTTTTTTACACCTTTGTTTCCCTAGCGCTGAGCGAAAAACAGGCACTTAAATTATTATTGACTGACTGTAAAATGGATGAGCTAGATCACTGAATATCTAAGTTCCTTTTCAAGTGTGGAATTCATAATAATACAGATTATAATTCTAATAAGGTAAATAATACATATCTTAATATTATCAGGCAAAATGAGATACAATAAGGCTAGTACAATGGTCTGTTTAAAAATCTATTTCACCTTTTTGGGGAGTAGCTATATTTTCATTTGACCAAAATCATAGTTACCAGAGTTTATTCATCAAAAATTACTAAAACCATACATGGTATCAACTTTAGCTTTTATTATTATCATAGATAGGAAGTAAACTACACCGTAACATGTTACTAAAAACTTTGTAGAATAGACATACAAAGTTAAAATAATTTTAGCTATATGATTGAGCTAGAGCTCAACTTAATAGAAAAAAATTAATTCTTCATTAGAATTAAAAATTTATTTAAGAATGCATGAATACCAGGTGTATAAATAGAATCCTACTAGCACAGGACAAGTGGCATATGAGAGGCACATAGTCCATTAATATATTCCCTGCGGCCCCTTCCAACCGCTGGTGAGAAAATAAAAGACACATCACCACCAATCATCCACATAGTACAGATTCTGTCCTTGACCTCCAAGACAGTTCCCCCTAAACTTGTATTGCTAGTTCAACAACTCTGAGGTACCACATCACACCTATGAGATTGGCTAACATGACAAAACAGAAAAATGATAAAGGTTGGAGAAGATGTGGAAAAGCTGGAATATTAATGCATTGTTGGTGGAGTTGTGAAATGATACAACCACCTTGGAGAGCAATATGGAACTATGTCCAAAGGGCTATAAAAATGTACATACCCTTTGACCCAGCAATAGCACTTCTAGGGCTGTATCCCAAAGAGATCATACAAATGTGAAAAGGACCCACATGTACAAAAATATTTATAGCAGCGCTTTTTGTAGTGGCAAAGAATTGGAAATTGAGGAGATACTCATCAATTGGGGAATGGCTGTACAAGTTGTGCTCGATGAATTTAATGGAATACTATTGTGCTATGAGAAATGACAGCAGATTTCAGAAAAACCCAGAAAGACTTGTATGGACTGATGCTGAGTGAAGTGAGCAGAACCAGGAGAACACTGTACACAGCAACAGCCACGGTATGCAATGACTAACTTTGATATACTTATCCCTTCTCAGCAATACAAGGATCTAATACATCTCCAAAGGTCTCATGATGGAAAATGTTATCCACATCCAAAGAATGGAATTTGAATGCAGATCGAAGCATACTATTTGCTATTTTTTTTCATCTGTTTTGTTTTGTCTCCTCTCTCTGGTGGTTCCTCCTATTGGTTCTAATTCTTCCTTACAATATAACTAATGTGAAAATATGTTTAATAGGAATGTATATGTATAGCCTATATGAGATCGCGTGCTATCTTGGGAAGGGAGGAGGAGAAAAATTTTAAACTCAAAAGCTTATGGAAGTGATTGTTGTTAAATCAAAATAAACTAATAAAAATTTTTTTTAAAAAAGATTGTTATTTTTTTAAGGCAATTGGGGTTAAGTGACTTGTCCAGGGTCACATAGCTAGTAAGTGTCAAGTGTTTGGTCTGTGGCTGGATTTGAACTCCTGACTCCAGGGCCAGTGCTCTATCCATTGTGCCACCTAGCTGCCCCTAAAAAACGATATTCTGAATAAAAAATAAGCTGTATATCTCAAAATTTTTGTGAATATTATTACACTGCTTACCTGTTTGGAGTGTGCTAGGAAAAGACAATGTAACTTTCTCATCTTCATTCTGATAATTAAATCCTGTGGCATGTATTTCTGAAACAAAAAGAGTACCAATTTAAACTCATGAACTTAGTTCAGACAACAGCCTATATCAAATAAAAATTTCCATTAAAATTAAACGCGATATCATCTTAATTTAGCAAGTAAGTTTTTAACTATTAAAAGCATTATATTAGTCAGCTTTAAATGCCAAAATATGGAGCAACTTGGACTTCTGACTCTGTAAGAAAATGATTACAAGTTCTACGTTAATTCATAAATTTGAGAGTAGTGGAAAGAGCATAGCTGATAAAGTATTCTTCCAGTTTCTTTGATATATTTGAGAAGTATGTCCATCCTGTGACAACCCTTTCTGTGCTGCAACTTCTCTCACATACACATTGAAGAGATTAAGCTAATTACCATAATTTCAGTGGACCAAAGAAGCAACAAAGTTATGCTCCCCTGCTATAGAGCTCAATCCCATCCAAGATCTAAAAATACAATATTCTTGGGATAAAATTCAGTTTTACAGAGAGCTCTCTTTGTGGAGAGTCAAAAAACTAAGTTCCACAGTTTTACAAAACAGTAATTTTTCACTAGGTGGTTTCATGAAGTATAACGGGCCACGCTGAGATATACCTTCTACGAAGCCTCTGTAAATTGGTCAGGTCAGCGCAGTCAAAAATTGAGGTTGGATTTCAAGATGAATCAGAGAATTATAGTAAAAAAATATTTATGAAGTGCATACTATGTGGCAGGCAGTGTGTTAAGCTCTGGGGATACAAAGAAAGAAAGACAAAAGACAGTTATCTGCTCTCAAGGAGCTCACAGTCTAATGGGAAGAAATACAAACAGCTATTTATACAAACAAGCTATATACAGGACAAAGAAATAATTAACAGAAGGGAAGGCACCAAGAGTAATGCCCTCATTTTGCAAATGAGGAAACAGATCCAGGGAATTAAAGTGACTTGCCCAAGCTCACACAGGTAATAAGAAGTGGTAAAGTCAGAATCTGAATCCAGATTATAAGATCATAAATTTAGAGCTCTGAAAGACTTTGAGAGGTCATTGTATACAACTCCCTCTAACTTTACAGATTCTCAGACTGTAAATTCATCACTCTAGACAATCCTAGATAGTGTCAATTATGATTTCTTTTTAATAAAACTAACACAATTCATTCTTTATCTTACAGGAATCATACCAGGGCAGGAATCTTGAAGAAATGTTTTTAATGTAACTCTCCTTTAGAGCCTCCTAGAGTTCAGCCTTAAGCCAGCCAAAATCTCCTCTTATTCTAATTTCCCAAAAAGCAGATTCCTGGACATTTAACAGAAAGTCAATATTTGTACACTACATTATTTATCAAGTTTCTAGCTTTAAATGACAATGAATCTTGACCAACAAAAAGCTAGAGATTAGCCCCAAGCTAGTCCCGTTTCTAAGGTAGCTATTGTGCTCAGCACTCAGAAGAGAAAAAAAAAAAAAAAACCCATACATTGTTTACAAATGTTCCTTTCTGGCCAAGGCATGATATCACTAGTTAGTTCCTGGGGGAACTATACACAATATCAAAGATACACCCCAGTGAAGGATGCTAATGTTTACTCAAAATTTAAGAAACAAGCTTCAAAATTTCAATAAATGGAAAAGACAGATCCAACAGAATAGAAATTTTTATAAATGAAGTATACTCTATACATTTACATCCCACAAAATGTAGCATATGGATATTAACTATGAAACATTTAATATGCATGTTCTAATGGTTACTTTCTAAAGGTTCACAGAATAATCATAACTTTGCTTTAAAAGCTAGAAACAAAAACAATACCAAAAAAGAAGTCAAAAAATACTTATTACAGGGACTCTTGGAAAACTATTACCCAAAGTGCTCTGTATCTGCTATTTTAATTGTACAGTGTCTGACAGAATAGGAGAACTAAAGCAATACTGGAAAAGTTGGTCTAAAAAATTACACAAAGGGGAAGGTAGGCAGCACAGTGGATAGAGCACTGGCCCTGGAGTCAGGAGGACCTGAGTTCAAATCCTGCCTCAGACACGTAACATTCACTAGCTGTGTGACTCTAGGCAAGTCACTTAATCCCAATTGCCTCAAAAAAAAATTATTAAAAAAAAACAATTACAAGATATACATGAGATTAGCTATATATGCCATTTGCACAAAGTTTATTAAACACCACAAATTTGTTTCATCACAAATGAAAAGCTGTCAGATGAACTCCCTTTTCAGGTATACAGAAAAACTAGATTATCAACCCTTCCAAACTGCATCTTCACGTTGCAGATAACTTCCTCCTTTATATTATAGTTTATTCCAAACATACTCTAGTATAATCTTGTACAAAATCTCCTACAAGCCCTAACATGCCATTAGCACTTTTACGTTATGTTATTTTAGCTACACAAAAACCATATGGATACAATGTATGGCAAAGCAAGAACAGGGGGTAGCTAGGTCGCGCAGTGGATAGAGCACCGGCCCTGGAGTCAGGAGGACCTGAGTTAAAATCCGGCCTCAGATACAACACTTCCTAGCTGTGTGGCCCTGGGCAAGTCACTTAACCCCCACTGCCGCCCCCAAAAAAAGAAAGAAAAAAAGCAAGAACAAAATTTTTTTTTCATTTTGCCTTGTTATTAATTCTAAAACACTCTAGGATTTACTAGTAATGATGACTAAAAACAAAGGAGATATCACTACAGAGTTTTCTAAATTTAAAAAATTAGCAGTGAAAGCGTCACTAAGACTTAAAGTAAAATCGCAATTAACCAGAAGACACAAAGCTGTGCTTAACTTCATGACAACCAGAAAAATCTCTCCTTCCCTTTAATCTCTTGTTAAGTACCATCCTAAAAATATTTTACCCCCTTTCCTGCTCCATGCTGAACCTAATTTTAATCATACTTTTATGACTAGGGATTCATCCACAAGATTATTTTTCTGTTCAATAACAACTGAAGAATAGGAATAAATGCAGTTTTCCTTAAAATGGCTAAGTAACATCTATCTAAAACCATCAGCAAGCATTATCTGTAATGAGGATAAGTTAGAAGCCTTCCCTAAGAGATCAGGGTTGTGAAGCAAGAACACCCATTATCATCACTATCATTCAATATTGTTCTAGAAATGCTAGCTATAGCAATAAGAGAAGAATAAGAAATTAAAAGGGGCAGCTAGATGGAATCCAAATGCAGATCAAAGCATACTATTTTCTCTTTTTTTTCTTTCTCGTGGTTTTCCCCCTTTTATTCTGATTCTTCCTTCACAACATGGTTAATGTGGAAATATGTCTAATAGGATTGTACATGTATACTCTATATCAGATTGCATGCTGTCTTGGGGAGGGAGAGGGAGAAAAAAATTTGGAACTCAAAGTCTTATAAAAGTGAATGCTGAAAACTATGTTTACATGTAATTGGAAAAAATAAACTACTACTAAATGAGGAAAAAAAAAAAAGATGAGCAGGTAGATTTCAGAAAAACCTGGAAAGACTTACATGAACTGATATTGAGTAAAGTGAATAGAACCAGGAGAACACTGTATACAGTAACAGCAACACTGTGCGATAATCAACTTCAACAGACTTAGCTCTTCTCAGCAATATAATGATCTTAGACAATTCCAAAAGACTCATGATGGAAAATGCTATCCACATCCAGAAAAAGAACTATGGAGAATGAATGCAGATAGAAGCATACTATTTTCACTTTTTTGTTTGTTTTTTCTTTCTTGTGGTATGTAATTGTAATGGAATACTCTTGTGTTAAAAGAAATGATGAGCAGGATGATTTCAGGAAAAACCTGGAAGGACTTACATGAACTAATGCAAAGTGAAGCAAGCAGATCCAGCAGAACATTGTACATAGTAATAGCAATATTGTAGGATGATCAACCACAAATGATTTAGCTATTCTCAGCAATACAATAATCCAAGACAATTCCAAAGGATTCATGATGAAAAATGCCATTTGCCTCCAGAGAAAGAACTGATGGAGTCTGAATGCAGATCAAAGCATACTATTTTTTCACTTTCCTTCTGGTTTTTTTTGGTTCTAGTTTTCTTTCACAAAATGACTAACATGGAAATGTTTTACATGCTTTATGCTGTATGTTTTATATGTTGTATGTCTTACATACAACCTTTATCAGATTGTTTACCATCTCAGGGAGGGAGAGAGGGAAGGGGAAAAAGAATTTGGAACTCTAAATTTTTTAAAAAAAGAATGTTAAGAATTGTTTCAACATGTAACTGAGGAAAAATAAAATATTAAAAAATAATGACTGAAGAGAGCAATGTAAAGTATATAAAAGCCACCTGTACTATTTACTAACTTTTTTTTTAAACTAAATCTGGCTAAATCTCTCATTTGTTTCTTTTAAATTTTCTCATTTTTCTACAAGTTGAATAAAAGAAATCTCAAATTAACTAAGTTTTTACTATAGTTACACGAGAAATAATTTAAGTTTCATCTCAGAGCTCCTGTTGTTCCTCAATCCATTTGCCATTTTTGCTCTTCCCAAAAGATCACATCACAGGCGTGCATGCATTTTACTTATAAGCATAATAACCATTGCAAATAGCATCAAAATGCCTTTGCAGTGAAAACATGACATAATTTCTCCAGAAAATGGAAGCTACTAGAAAGAGAGTGGAGAAATGAGTACTTAGGACTGCGCTGGAAGGAAAATAATAAAATCAATATTTGAGAAAAGCAAAGTTATGTCAAACTTTTCATTCCTCAAATAGGGATACTAATCCTCAGAACTTGAAAACAAGTTATATTTATAATAAGGTAGATGTCCGAAATTTAGATGATATTTTGCCCAGAAGCAATGTTATAAATTAGGGTCTTCTTTAGGCCTAGACCACAAAAACCTACTTAAACCTACAGTCCAGTGTTAATACAAGTATGATACTATTTGATAGGATGTGTGTGTGTGTGTGTATTTTCCTCTGTTGCACATTTTGCTTTACATTAAAAACCAGAGGGTCAAACAAAGTTCTGTGTTGTTGTATCTTTCAAC